CTGAGACCAGGAGCACCTGAAATCCAAAAAAACACGAGGATTTTTTTTGGATTTTCACTCAAAATCCAAAAAAACCATGTGTTTTTTAGGTTTTTGAGGCCAGGAGCAAGTAAAATCCAAAAAAAACCATGGTTTTTTTTTTATTTTTCCAAAAAAAAACCAAAAAAACCTCGAGAAAACCAAAAAATCCAAAAAAGGCGGCCTCCCGGCTCCATGGTTTTGAGTTTTTGGATTTTTGGATTTGTGTCAAAATTTGCAAATTCTGCAAAAAAGAAGTGTTTTTTGCATACAATTCTGTGTTTATAAGCCTGTCCTATGCAAATAATTCATAGACATGTTTACCAAATTGCATTTTCCTGTGTTTTTGGGGTGTTTTTTTGTGGTGATGTGGAAGTAGTGCTAAACACACGCGTTTTTCACTATTTACAGGTTTTCTCGCATAGGACTAGACGTGCAAAAACAGGACATCGCCTAGCATAGCCAGCATGTCATTTTAATCGGTATTTACGAGGCTTTTTATAGGGACAAAGCAAAACCTAGATCATGGGGGGGGGGGGGGTGACCATATATATATATATGCATATACATACATACATATATATATTTAAGCAGAGTGGCATAAAGGCATGCTTGTTTTCACCTGTCTAACAATTGCAAGTTCATGTGACTGCTGAACGAATACTGGATGACCGCCACGTGGTGACGATGCCGAGCCGCCCTCGACGCCACGGTGCACGGTGTATGAAGACCGGTGTGGCATCGCGCAAATTTTGGAGTACATGTCCAATGTTTGGACAGTGGCCAAACCCTGGACCCGGGTACTTGATGCTAAAGTCACGAACTTTCCCTATTCAAGATTTCCCTAAACCCTCCACTCTAGCGCCTCTAAGGCTTAAGTCCTATACACCCAGACGCCACTAAGGATTACACACACACACACACACACGGCACATCACTACAACCGCGACCACCACCACCACCGAGCACCACTCCACGTTCCACCCACCAAATGCCACGCCGCCACACATGCGCTCACAGGACCGCGCTCGATCCAGATCCACGGAGCTCTCCGAAACACACGCGCTTCAGACAACGTGTGTTCATACACGCGACTTATCAGGCAACGACGGCGCATCTATCGCTATCCACCCCTGCCCCCCACCCCCTCCCAAAGGGAAGTTTCTGATAAATTCGCCTCGGCTTCCTGCCGAGAAGCGCCTGGAACAAGCAGACCTGGATCGGGCCTCCCTAACCCAACCCTTCCCCCCACGCAAAATATTGCCTCCCGCCCTGTGGGACCCCCCCCCCCATCGCTTGGAGGAGCTGCGAGCCGAGGGTCTTGTTTGTCCGCGGCTTCGACAGAAAAAGCGCCTCAAAACGCACAAGCCCACCCCCCCCCCCCACTCCCTTAACCCTTCCCCCAACCCGCCTGGACCTACCTCAAACACCCTTGACCCCTTTAACCTCGCTATGACCCCCGGACCTGGACCCTTCCTCCACTTTTTATGCAGAAACCCGCTTTCCTCCTTTCCTGTCGGGCCGGCCCGGCTGCCGAGGCGGCGCGCGCAAGCGTTTACAATTAAACCCCCCCCGCCCCGCCGCCCTCTTTTTTTTCGCGTGGTAGATTCAGCACCCCCTTCCTCCCTCATCATCAGGAGACAAGTACTCCATCCAACAGGTTTGACCGGTTTCCTTGCCTAACAAAAAGTAAAACTTAGGCCCAGTTACGTCAGCATTAGCGATACATATATGCACATGTGAAATTACATGGCGCAGTCCGCGGTGTCCCTCAAGGAACTTCATCTTTGCAGAACTCTCAAAAAGCTGAGCAGCCAAAGGGGCTATGGCATTCAAAGAACAAGGACGTAAACATTATAATCCGGGGCTACTATTGCTTATGCCTTAAGCGCCCTTGTCGAAACTTCCGATTGCGGGAGTACGAAGATGGGTGGAACAATAGTGTGGTCTGAAGGCATGCGAGCATTTGTGTTTGCAAATGGGGGGGGGCTACGCCACCCCCAAACCCCCCGCTTTATTTTTTTCGATCCCATCATGCGAGCGTTGTGTTTGCAAATGGGAGGGGGGCTAAACATCCCTAAACCCTAGACCCTAAAAGTCCCTAAGTCCTAAAACCCCTGAACCCTAAAAAACCCCGAAGCGCTAAACCGCAAGAAGCCTCTAAACCCTAAACCGTAAAAAGCGGCCCTCCAACCCCCCGGCGTTATTCTTTTTCGAACCCATCATGCGAGTGTTGTGTTTGCAAATGGGAGGGGGGCTAAAAAACCCCTAAACCCGAAGCCCCAAATACCCCCAAACACCTAAGCCCCAATCACCCCTATAGACTCTATAGACAGGCACCTCCCATAGGTAGGACAGGGGCCCCGGCCTAAGCGCGAGACTGCAAGTTGCAAGACTTGAAGCCTGTAACGGACTGCATATGCTGTAGTTCATGGCATTCGCAGTTTGAAGCCGAAAAAGAAGTTATAGGCATTGGCACCCCTCCTCGGGAAACGGCACGGAAAAAGTTACGAGTAAGCAAAAAAGACGTTACAACCAAGTAACTGGTAAGCAAAGAAAAAGTTGCAACTAAGCGTGCTTCATGAGATTTGAAAAACATGCCTATGTTTAGGGGCGTTTAGGGCTTAGGGCTTAGGGTTTTTAAAGTTTTGGTTTCATTCAGGTTTAGGGCTTAGCGTTTTTCAGGTTGCGGGTTTATTGGGTTTCGGGCTCAGGGGTTCTTAGGGTGTAGGGCTTAGGGCTTTTGGGGTTTAGGGTTTGGGGCTTATGAGGGTTTAGCACAAAAGGGTTTAGGGCCAGGTTTTTGGGGTTTAGGGGTTTTTGAGGGTTAAGGGTTTAGGGCCAGGTTTCCTGCACAGCTCGGGCGAATCCACATCGCAGGGCAATGACGACCAGGTTTTTAGGGTTTAGGGTTCAGGGGTTTTGAGGGTTTAGGGTTTTTAGGGTTTAGGGGTTTGTAAGGGTTTAGGGCTTAGGGTTTTTTTGGGGTTTGGGTTTTTTGGGGGTTTAGGGCTGGCTTTAGGGTTTAGGGCTCTTTGGGGATTAGGGTTTTCTGGGTTTATGGATTAGGGTCTTTAGGGCTTAGGCTTGGGGTTTTTTATGGTTGATTAGTTCTGTAAGACGCTGTTGCGGTGTAGACAGTGCAACTTGAAGATTAGGGAGACCCAAAACAAAAGTACTTCCAGCAAGCGGTCATCATGGAGACTTCCCCTCGAAGTCTTTCATCGGGTCTCAATGTCTCTGGAGGCTGTGCGAAGGGCACCCCGGACCCACGGGGCGACTTGCAAGTGACTTGCACGTCGGGCCAGGATCCAAGATCGATGCCCGGGAAAGCCACGGCATCTGGGATCTTGAAAAGGACAAGTCACTTGCAAGTCACCTCAGAGGGGTCGCCATGCCCATGTACCCAGAAGCCTTGACAAGCTGCTCAAGAACGCGGCCCTAACCCCTTTACGCGAAGTCCTAACTTCAAACAAACTAAGGCTAAGTGCTTAAAGAAGACGGCGCAAAGCCAATTCGAGCTCAAAAACCCCAAAGAAAAACAAACACACACAGACACACACAGACATCATGCGAGCAATGTATAAGGCATGAAACGGACCGTACAAACCCTCTGAGTCATTCAATTCATTACTGAACGCCACTACCTCGGTGGCTGTGCCATCCTGTCACATCCAAACAACTGTCTCGAGAGGAAAGCGTGCTTAAGGGTTTTCGTTGCTGTGGAATCCTGAAGAGGCGATGTTGCCTCGAAAGAATCTCTCTTCACAAGTCCTATGGGCCACCGTCAGCACGCTTGATAAACTCATGGCCGCCTTGCTGCTCGAGGATTCTGAAGGGGCGCCCTCTGGCCAGCGAAGTCGCCACGTCGAGGAACTGTCCTGTTTCAGATTCTTGCGCCCAAGTACCAACAGTGGCTGTCTTTCCTTGAACCCCACATTTCAGCAAGCCTTGACAATGAAGCGGTCGTTGTGGTTCTGCGCTGCTTTTGAGAGCAGGGCTTGGGGAAACCTGGAAGAGGGCTTTGCGCAGCAAGGCTCGAATGGCTCGAATGGCTCTCCTACCCGGACCTCTCCAGGGCCCGCTGCATCAAAGCCAGGTGCTCCAAGCTCTCATGCGTACGAAACCTTGCAGACATTGGGAGACACTTCCAGTCAGGCTGCCATGACAGGATCCGTCAAATCAGGCATGAGGTGGGTTACGAGAAGATTCATGGCTTATGCGCGCAACTCCGGGTCCAAGCAGCAACAGCTCACCAGTGTAGAGCTCTGCAACAATACACCCGATGGACCACAAGTCAGACAGCTCGTTCCAACCTGATGCTGGGTTGTTGGAGCAGTGCTTTTGGATGTGCTAGCGATAGATTGACAGGGTTGCATCTGGATTGCGAACTCCATCCTTGCTGCTGCGGCCTGATTGTAAGGTCTTGGGCCACCACCCAGGGACAGGATTACCTCCGGTGCCCGATACTGCCTGTGCACGCACAAGGTGATGCCACAAAAGTATTGGCTGGGCCGAGGCTGCTGATAGGGGCGCTGGCGCACTCGGGGGCACATATATTTCCACGTATATATATATATGTATGTACATATGTGTACGTGTGTATATCTATATTGTGTATATATAAAAACATATGCACATAGGCCCCTAGGCTTTGCATGCAGGGCATGAAGCATGAAAGGATTCCGCTTCATGCTTTGCGAGTCCGGCTCTTTGAGGCCATGCCTGGTGTTGATGATGGAGGAGTGGTGCTCAAGCTCGTACGTCGCATTGCCTGTTCAGAGCATCCCAACTGCCACACAAAGGCTGTTCATGATGTGGCACAACTTATGAGCAAGCTGCCGAAATCAATGAGGGTGATCTCTGTTGACTGTGGCCGGACCTTGCCCCATGCTACGGCGAACAGTAGTGTCCAAGTATGACGCAAGGAAGTGTCCGCCCAACCAAGTCAACATATGTTAACATTTGCTGCCCATCCCCTCTTCTCCCCTCTGTGAACATCAAGGGTGCTTCCTTGAGGCTGCCACATACCCACTTGCCGGGCGCCGCGATGACGAGGACTGCGACTGCCAAAACTCCTTCAGGAGGGGTTCGAGAAAAGCGATGAACGCACATTCGGCGCTACCTCACGAGGAAAGCTGGATGGCAGTGGAGCTTCTGATGAGCGTAGAAGCACCTTGAGCTGAGCTTTGAGGCTTCAAATGAGCCGGCAATTGGATCAATTTGATTTCGCGCGAGCAAGAATATTTGGAAGCCCAGGGGCATTCTCGAGCTTCAAGTCGGTGTGTGAGAGGTTGAGATCGACATGAAGAAACCGCAATGCTTGCAAGCACTGCTGAGATATACGCTGTATGTCCTGGCATAGGGAATGTCGAGATTCCAGATTCCTTCTTGCGTGCTGAGGCGAAGTCCTGCACCCAGAGTCCACGGTAGTGATTTTGCTTCAGCAGGTCATACAGGGACATGCCCAAAGCCTGCCATCTCAAGCGCACTTGGGATTTGCAGTTTGGCGTTGCTGAAATCGAGACGAAACTCTAGTCACGGCCTCACACACTAAACAGAACAGTCGTTCACCATCGGCTTCATGGAAGAAGGTTTCATGCAGACGGACCTGACTTGCCATGTCTGCATCCTACATGACTTCTTGGGGCACAACTCTTGAGGGCACCACGCAGCCATGGGACTGCTTTGGGTCTGCAGCGCGTATGTCCTCGCATGGTCACTTCTCAACGACTTCCAACCAGTTGGAATGACGTCCTGCAAGATCTCCGCTTCCCGCATCGCATTGCGGGTGTATTTCTCCACCTGTGCTGATGGGAGCTTCATGAGCTTCAGTTCATCTTCCCAGACCAGGTCAAAAACATGGTTACCCAGAGATGCCGGACGGTTCTACAGCTACGACAAGCACCAGCAACAGGGCGCAACCCCCCCCCCCCCCCCACAATGCTGAGCGAGGGTCGTTTCGAATGATCTTGATGGCCACTTGCCGGTTTCGTTTGCAATCCTTTGCTTGCAGCACCCGGCCAAACGTACCATCTCCCAGAAATTTGCTCACAACATAGCGGGAGTTCATCTGCAAGCCCACACGCCACCTTAGCTTCGTCTCAAGCGACGCAGTGCTCGATCTGTGAAGTGTGCTCACGGACTCATTGCCGAGTCATTGCCCGTACGCAAGCCTTAAGCCGAAGTACTCGAAGTGCTGCACTTCATCTTTGTCCAGGCGTGGGCCTGCCCCTGCTTTTTTGGGCCCTGTTGGCTCTTCCGAGTATGAGCTGTACTCGGACTCATCGGAGTCGGAGGACGTATAGCTACTTGTGCAGCTGCTGACAGACAAAGCTTGTGGTGCAAGCTTGTCGGCCCTTGCTGGTTGACGTTTTGCACTGCGGCTTCGGCTTTTCCTTCCTGGCTTGCTTTTGCGGCTGCTGCCGTATCCAAGACCTTGCATGTCTTGTTTTCATCCTGTCATCGAAGGCCGGCTTGCGGTGCGAACGGCATGGTTGGAGCTTCCGCTACAACTCTCGCATCGCCGTTGGACTTAGAGAATCTCGAACATGGTGTGCATGTTCGTACGGGGGCGATGCTAGGTTCTGCTGGCTGTCACAAACCACTCTGATCTGAAACAGGATGATCGACTGGTGCGGGTGTGCTACGCATCACCATGGAAAATTCATGGTCAGCTGCTTCACAGAAGCAAAAGGCATGGCGAAGGCACCATCAGCAAGCAAACTACATGCAGGCTGCCCAACATGCGGTTCCTTGGCCCTGATATCAACACCACTTTTGACAATGCCGGAGCAGGCGTTTTTGGTCTGCGGCTGCTAAACGCAGAATTTTGCACTATGTGCAAGGGCAGCACTTCTCATGCATCCTCCGGAACTACAATGAGACTATATGACTCTTTCATTTCTATCAGCATGCACACCTTGATGTGTGCGTGGAGTTCGAGGAAACATGCAGGCTGTCCCTTCTGATTAACAGAGACGCCCTTGCATATGCAAGCGTTTTGGAAGGCGTCCACGGGTCGTGTCTGCAACATAAACGCTGACACAAGATTATCTTTTCGAGCCCAGCACAGAACATCAAACAGGGTGTACTGGCAGTGGCGCTGTGCACGATAGTGACGAAAGGGCTCTACATGGTCTACTTTGCTTTTGGAAGCTTTACGTCGCAAGGCAGCCGCAGCATTATGCCAAGCATGTGCTGCGCTGGCCGCAATGGCCCCTCATTTTGAAGCTTTACTGGAATCTCTGTGCCTTATGGTGAGTCTTTGGGCCAATGCTGACCTGCATGCAATCGAAAAGGTTTGCAACGTCTAAGGTTTTTGGAAGAAGTTGAAACTAGGAGCTCTCATCCTGAACTTCTTCTTTAGCTTCTCCTTCCTGGACTTCGGAAGCTTCGGCCCCTGGCGCGGATCCCTCATCCTTGTCGTCGTCGTCATCGGCGAGGTCAGCCGTCACGTTTGTCTCATTCTCCTCTAAGTCCTGCAAGCACATCCACATCTCTTGTTGCCTACTCTGCTATGTTTCTTCCTGGCTCCTTGCTGTTTAGCCTATGGCTAAGGCTTGGCGTGCATGCGAGGTTTCTATTGGCATTTCGACATTGGGGTACACATCCAGTTTGGCCTGTGCTGAGTAGCTGCATGTTGCTCATGAAGTCGTTTCAACAAAACTAGCTTAGGCCAGTGAAACATTGCCGTGGCGACAAGCAGATGCTGTGTCTGTGGGGATGGTCCTTCTCTTTCTGCAGCTCCTCAACGCTTGGTAGAGCCTGCTTTTCTGATCCAGGCCTCAAGTCGTTCAAACAGCAACAGCAAGAGCCCACAAATTTGCACCCAAGGGATGGAGAAGTTGAGTCCAAGGTGGCTGCAGGGCTGTGAGCTTGTCCACGCCCCAAGCCAAAACGTCGGCGTAGGAGCTTGTGACCAGGTCCTGACACCAAGGAACCACAATTATGTCGCAAAAAACAACTCTGTGTGTGCAAATATGTGTAAATATTATATATATATATATATATATATATTAATACATAATATCGACCTGGTGACCTATATATACATATTTCATGTACATATACATAAACTTTTACATCTACATATACATACTATGCATAGACATGTTCATATACATATATACATATATACATATATACATATATACATATATACATATATACACATATACACATATACACATATACACGTATACCTATATTTATATTCATATATGGTGTATATGTGCATTTTTCTGCCAGTTCTTGCCATGCTCCACACATTCGTCCTGCACATCTTCGAAAGACGTGGTTTCGGCAATCTGCTGAATGGCCACTGCAGCGATACCCAAGCTGCCAAAGCGAACCAAAAGCATCAAAGCATCATCTTTTCGTTTCTCCCATGAGTAGAGAGGCTGGAAGGAATCCAAAAATCCGCAGTACCTCGAAGTCTCGAATCGTGAGGAGTTTACTGTTTCAGACTATAGATGCCCGAGCAAGGGCTAAGGTCAGGGCTCGTCATTCAGGTTTGGGAAGATCCAGAAATCAAAGCCGACGATCCAAAACATTGTGAAGATTAACATTCGCAGGATGAGGACGCCAAAGTAGAGCGTCAGAAAGATCACGCTCAAGTACCAGACGCCCACCTGCAAACGAAACGACAGCTAAACATCATGAAAAACAACTCTTGCTGCAGTCGCACTCGGAGGCTGCCTTGGCCCACATTGGCCAAACCGGGAACATGCACGCGAGGAGCACGCCGGCGATGATCAAGGCCAGCAAGAAGTGCTGCAGGCCACTGCCACCCTCGTATGTGATGACGTAGAACCTGGGCACAGAAGCTGAGGACAGAGAGCCGCTTTTGCCCTGAGAGGAAAAGTCGGAAAAGTATCCTCAGGTTGGGGCCCTTCAGAGTCGAAGGCTTGGTTGGGCGTTCGGCCCAATCTGTCAGGCCACTTCTTGGGCTTCTTGTCGCCATCATCAGACTTGGAACTTGGGTTCAAGGGCTTGTACATGGCCTGGCAAGCTGAATGCTTAGGGAATGAACTTGGCAGAAGTTGACATGTCGAAAGTTGGCAGAACTTGTTTGTTGGCTTGAACTCCGGCCTTGTAGCAAAACTTTCGGTCAATCAGCTCTTGACCCAGCCGGACCACATCCGGATCAGTTTGCGGAACCTGTCCATCCAAAGCTTCTTCTAAAGCTTTGGAGCACTTCTTTGTCAGGATTCCCTCGCTTTCCAAAAGGAACTTCTTGAAATCTTTCCCGCGGAAATAGTCCACCTTCTTGCGCCCGACCTGCCCAATCAAAATCAAAAGTCATCAAGACTCAGCTCACTTAGCCGTATACTATATTATATTTTCGGATTATTCTCGGTTGTATATCTATATACTATGCTATGTAGTATTTTATTTTTAAAACTAGAGATTGTGCTATATTATGTGTATGTACTTGTGTGTTGCACATTGTATACTATCTATCATAAACTGTATTATTCTATGTGGAGCTCACTGCCTCGCTTGCAGTCTTCGTCTTGATGCCTTTCTTGCCTAGAAGCACCTTCATTAATGGCTCAAAGGTTGGGTCCCATTCGGGCTCCTTCTCATTCTTGTTCCGCCCTTGGAGCACCAGTCACCATCAAGTCTAAAGGGCTCTTCAAACTGCACTGGCTATAGTCCGTGTTGAAGCTTCCTTTTGGCTCTGAGGACGGCACTGAACATGGCGGCAGTGGGTCGCAGAATCTGTCAAAACCTGCACCCCTGCTAAACGCTGCCGAACTGTAGGCCGAACAGCGGAAGCATAGTGAGCTGTGAACAGGATGCCTTTCCCCACCCGGTTGACAGGCCACACAAGGCCACCGGCCGACACTCCGATTGGCGAAGTGGTTTGTGTTGTGACGATTGGAGGCCCGAGCAGCCCGTCTGTCGTCCCTTGCTGGAGTGCCAGCATCTGACGTTGCATGGATGCACCGCGTGTATGAAGGAAGGATTGACATGCAGGCCAAGGCCAATCCAAGCCATCCGCACTCACACGACAAAAATGCGACTTTTTCTGTGCTCAGAGCTGGCACCGTAGTGGGCTGTACACATGCAACAGTAGGCAAGCGAATTTGCTGCACCGCCGGGTCATGTCATGAAGTGGCAGTGGGGTGGGGGGGGGGTTCGTCGGCTACGGGCAGCGAATGGCAGCGGCAGCATTGTCACAAAGTAATTCGGGATAATTCCGTGCAAAAGGATCCCCTGCTGCAAGATCATCCAGTGGTACGCGGAAAAAAAACTGCTGGATCCAGAGCTCCTCTTACTTTCCGTGTCTCAATGTGGTGACTGACCTGCTTGAGATGCCGCCAGTCTAAGAACAACGATGGTGGGCCCGCTATGTGTAGGCAATGTGCAAGTACACGTAGTGGAATTTCAGTGCCAAATGCGCCTGGAGGTTGCCAGCTTAGTTGTGCTTGCGCTTCCATTTGGCAGTGCTCGCAGGTGGCGCTTCGGCTTGCCCCCTGTTGTGCACTGGCTGACCTAGGTTTCTGACGCCCGCAAATGCTTGGCTGCCAAATGCAACTCGCAGCAATCTGAGCACGGAGCCTGTGAGGCAAAGCGCAGAGAACAAAGCGTCTCATGCGAATGATCTGTTTCGGGGCTGACCGTGACCAGCATCAGAGTCTTGCCTTGACCATTCAAGCATGGCCTTGGCGGCAGACTGTCTTGCATGCTGTGCGACATGCTGCTTTCTTGCTTCGGATGAGTGTAAGCCACTCTAAGAACTTTGCTCCATCAAATGTGTCCTTAGAAGTGCCGGTACGCGTCACGGTGCCAAATTCCAATCAACGCAGTCATGCATGGTTGAGCAGATCTCCATACACATTGGTGACAGGAGTCAGCTTCGAGTTGCGAAACGGAATGTGGGATCGCCCTTCGGCTTTGGCAAGGAAAACATCTGCCAAACTTGACCTGCAGCTTTGCGCAGCGTGCCCAAGCGAGCTCAAGCAATGCAAAGGAATCAAAACGACATTGCTCTGCGTCTGATGTTGCACCGAGGTGTTCGCAAGCTTCTGTTGATGTTCTGGGTTTCTTTCAGTCTTTCGCCCGTCGATCCTGACCTTACAGCTTCGGTTCGATAGCTACTCTTGGTGCTCCAGTTCAGACATCTTTGGCTCATCACGCAAGGACCTGTTGAACTTAGCCTGCAGCTTGTCAAGCCGCTCAGACCCTGCCAGATCCACCAGATGCAGAGCACCATGCAGCTCCTACAGTACAAGATGAGCACATAGGTAGGGAGTGAGAGCAAGAGATTCGTGGTTGCACAGAGCCCCGGTGGCTTCATTGGGTCCCCGACAGAATGCTGCTCCCGATTGATGCCGTGGAGGTACAAAGCAAATATTGAGTGTGAGCGGGAAGATGTGGCATTCATATCCGTCGCTCCAACCTTCCCAAGACTTCCCAAAAACGTCTGCGGGACACGTGCCGAGTATCGAAAACCTCGAAGCCTGAGGCCGTCCAAGGCCCGCAATGCCAAATCAAGGCAAGATGCTGACCGAGCCCTGGCTGCAGTCTCCATTAGCTTGTTGATCTGCTCCATTTGAGAGACCTGTGGAGTCTGTTGAAAAGTCCAGCAAAGCAGCTGCCCAATGCTTCCCAGGCATCCAAGCAAGACCTAAGCAAGAGCCTCCATCAGAGTGAGGTTCGTCACCACCGTCCCCCAGGCGTCGTCGTGCTTAATAACGTGGACCAGTTGGCTCCCATCACTTCCCAGCAGATCCCGAAGAACCTCCCATCTGCACCCAACTCTCGTGTTCATCGGGCCAAGTCCGGAACATGTCCCAAGCCTCATTGTAGACTTCCACGAAAGACACTTTGAGGGTCCACGTCCAACCTGCTGCACGCATTGCTTGTGTCCCTAGCTTGTCTGGAATGGCTTGGTGCCCCGGCCTGAGGCCTTCATGGATTCAGATGCTCGCAAGATCTGCTGTATCGATCGAGGGATAAGACCTCACGAAGCGACGATCATTGTACAATTTAGACTAAGGAAGCTTGTGGGTCTGTGGCCCAGTGCACCAGGCCCAGGGGAACCCTGCATGGTGTAGGTCTTTCCGGAGCCAGTTTGGCCGTACCTCGGCATTGTCACGCAGTGAACCTTCGTGTCACTCTGGATCCACTGAGATTGCTGCGCAAAGATCGAAACCTTGAACCCATCCTGTCGGCGCAGGGACAACAAAAGCGGCTGATTCGACGTTAAATGTGGGATGTTCTTTCGTTTTCGAATTCCCCAGGTTGGCTCCATGCTCACACTGGCAGAGTTCACAAGTTCGTCCGTTGTGTCTGCAGTACACTTGAGCACGAAGCGGTTCACACAACTCGGCAGAAGTCTAAAGTGCTGAAGGCAGCAGCGAACAGAAACGAGCAATCCGCGGCGTGGCAAGCCAATGTTTTCGCCCCACCCCCTCGAGTATTTTGCAACCAACATGCATGGTACATGAACGGGTCGATGGAAGCAAAACGTATGGCAATATTGGCCCCGGAATTGATGTGACCAGACGCTGTCCCCCCCGCCCTCCCCAAGGTTGGATTCAGGTCGGCTCGCCGCTGTCTCGTTCAGGTCTCAGGTTCTTTAGGTTAGTGTGTTCGTGTGGGGGGCGGTTCAGGGGTTGGGCTTAGGGCTTCTCCTCGGATTTCGGGGTCTCGGCTTCAGGTTTGGAGTGTTTGGAGCCCTAAACCCCTAAAACCCTTTTGAGCCCGGGCTCTCTGAGGTGCCGGCACTGGCGCAGCAGAGGATTCTAACCCCAAAACTGTAAGGGCCTAAGCCCTAAAACCAAACCTTTTTTTTAACGTCCAGGCTCCGGGAAGTCTTGCCGGGCATCACCTTAAACCACCTTTTTGGAGGAGGGGCTGCAGTGCGATTTGCCCTCATCACCTCAAGCCACAAAACCCCAAACCCCTGAAGGCCTAAATCCTACAAACCCTAAAGGTCAACCCACGACAGGCTGGGGCGCAACCACACATGGTGCGCCCCGGGCCCCCCCACCCCCCTCCCTCCCCCCCGGCTGGGGTTTAAGAGCCGGTGGATGTGGGTGAGGGGGTGAGGGGGAAGGATGTAAGGGAGGTGGGACAGCTAAGGGTCTTGCCAGTGCAGACTGGACGAGGCCACTGACCTCCTCGAACACCGCCTCTGCGCGGAAAACGCAAAAAGCAGCCGCCTGAAGAGCTCTCTCAGAGGCTTCTCGGAACTGGCCTCCTGGGAGGAGCTCTCGGAGAAGATGCGGTCGAAGCTGAAGCCGTGAGGTTCGTTCATGTAGTCCAAGTTGAGCTTGTTCTAGCAGGTTGGGGGGGGGGGGGGGGGGGGGGGGGAAAGAGTTCAGCAGACCATGTTGGAGGCACAGACATGCTGGATTCTGCTAGATGGCTTCATGGGCTCCATGGCCTCCGCAATCTGCAAGTGCTGCGATGCAGATTTTGAGCCTCCCAGTTGAGGCCGCACGCGGCAAAAGACCCGGATATTGCCCTTCAGCTCCTGAGGCATGGGAGATACACGGACCCCATCCCGCATGTCCACAGGCTGCGGCAGTTGGCTCCTGAATGGCATTATGAAGCTCTCGGCGAGTGCACTCTGCAAGAGCCAGCTGGCCCTCCAAGGATTGTATATAGCCTCACGCAGCTCACACAGGATTTCCATGGATTTTCCACCAAAAACCCGCCCGAAGTGCCCCAAGATTGGTGGAGCAGAGCCTTGATGACGAGACAGGTTGCCCTGTTGGTTGTGAAGCTCGGCTTTGGTGCATTCCACCTGCTTGCTCAGCTTGTCTACCTTTGCCGAGCGGCACGAGATGGTGCAAGCCTGCTCGCATCTACGCCTACGCACACTATGCTTCGTGTGAAGGCCGAGTTGAGCTCAGGGCTGTGAGCCTTAACTCAGTGATTGCCTCCATCTGCTGTTGGTTGCTGGTCCCATGATGTTCTTTATAGCTTCTGAACTCCACCTGTGAGCGCATGCGGAGCGCAAGCATAGGACGGAGCCCCTCTCACAGACGGTGCATGACCAATTAGTCTGCTTGCCACCATTTGCCACCCGATTTCAGCCACCCGACCTCCAGTGCGTCGCGCTCATGATGAAGCTTCTCACACTGCAGCTGCTTGGCCTGAGTCGTGTCCATTGCAGTTGCACAGCAGATTTGTGCCCACTTCAAGAAACATCCTGCGGACCAAGGTCTGGGCATTTGCCAAGGTTCTAAGGCTCGTCAGCTCCTGTGCTAAGCTCTGGCTACCGCAGCATGGCGCGAGTGTCCTGCCCGGTGCGACAAGCCAGGATCCTCCTGGAGAGTGCTGACCTTGATCTTGGACTGCGCAATCTCTTCCTGCACTGCTGATTGCTGCAGACATCAGGAGCCACGAGCAGATCCGAGCTACCTGCAGTGCAGCTTGGTGCTCCGAGGCGCGTTCGGTCCTGATGTGGAAGGTCAGACAACGCACTAGGCATGTGCACTTGTGAAGAGGCACATCTGCAAATGCAGGTCGATGTGTTGGCAAACGAGCGGCTGGAGATCTCTTTCGGTCTCCGCATTCTGAAGCATCTTGCGCAACTCTTGTAGTTGGCCCCTGTGAAGCATAGACGAGTTCGTGGGGAAAGGCAAAGCGAAGTGGTGGCTGTGACCTCATCAGGGCCATTTCCGACTCCTGCTGCTGCACCTTGTGAGAGAAGGCCTTGCAGGCAGCCCGGACAGGTGTCTGGAACCAAGCCCAGCCGAACAACGCCACGTAGACCGAAGTGCAAGGCTGACAGCGGCACCAGCTCACTTGAGCGCAACTCGTCTGCACGGCTTCGAAGCTTCGAGGCCTGGCGTAAACTGTGCGTAAACTCTTCAGCTGCTTTTTGGGAGGGCTGCATGTCGCTGCTCCACTCCGGGCGCCTCTTCTTCGAGCGCTTGCATGCGATTCCGCCTTGGCAAGCCGAGAGAAGGCACCCACATCCAGAGAGTGACATGCCTTCAATTAGGGCGCTTGCTCCCATTGAAGTTGCTCGCTCGTGCTGGCACGAAGAAATTGAAGCGACTGCAGCGTTTCGTGCAGTGTTGCCTCCTTCCATTTGATCAAACTGCTGATCTGCCCTACTTGCATGCTGGAACGGTTCCCGCCATCGGCGTCCTTGGCTGCAAGCTGCTGTTGCAGCACTTCTGCCGCTTGCCTGCCAGATGCCTCCTGATATCATCTGCAGGGTTCTATGTGCCAGCCGCCAGCATTTCCGTGTTGCAGGGTGTCCTTGTCTTGCAACAGCACTTGGTACTTTGTCTTGGCTCGGCCTAAGGCGTCCTGCATTTCTTCTTCCTGAAGAAGCTGGAATCTTCTCCGTGCTTGGATGTCCCAGTAGCATGATTTCTCGATGCTGGCCTTCTTAGCAAATTTCGCCTCCCATGTGGTGGAGGCGTTAGCCGCAGCAGCGTCCTGCACGGCTGCATGTATCACTGATTCGCCTTTTGCATGTGCTCTGCAATCAGCCTTAATCTCCATTTGCTGCTGCAGATGCCGCACTGCAGATTGCAGGGCATGTTCCTGTAAACAAACGCATTTGCACCAACCACATGTCACAATGTCATCATAACACCGCGCATCGTCTGCATTTAAGAACTGATCTGGTGTGCACTGCAGCAGCAAGCACACGTCGTACCTCCTGTCGGAAAGAATTCTCTTTCTCCTCGATGGCGGTTTTCAATCCACGAATGCTTTCTGTTGCTTTCCCCTCCTGAGCAAGCGGAGGTGCACATGTAGAGGAGTTCTATGCTGGGCGCGAACACGGCCTTGTCCGCCATCTCTTTCTTCAAAGCGCAAAGAACCGTCTGTGCCGCATCTTCCTGCAAAGGGATGGGGCAGGGCCCGCTTTTTCTAAAGTTACATGCAAGATTGGCAAGTCACCCTCGAACACCATGAGCGGCCGGCGTGTGCAACCGCTGTCCTTGCTTTTGCATTCCTTCTCCTTCTCACTCAGCTGGTGCTTGTGCGTCGCGGTCAGACGTTCAATGAACTCGTTCAATTCGGCCTCCTGTTGCAGAGAATCACCGGGAAGCGTCCCCCCCGCCCCAACTGCCCAAAGAAATCTTTCACAAAGCTCTGGAATGCTCCGTCCTTGTTCTTGGATGCAGCTTCTTTCTGGTCGAGCGCCGACCGATGTGCTTGCTGCAGCCCATCCATGACACTGTGGAACTCTTCCTCCTGGCGGGAACTCAAAACTCAAACAACGCTCTTTGACTCTTCGCACGCATGTAAAGGCCCAGTTGTTTCAAGTGGAAATCTCTGACCTTCTGTTTCCAGAGCCTTTTCATTTCCTCAAGTTCTGCGGCGTGGGTCTGTCGCAGGCCAGCTATGCAATCCTTCGTGTCTTGCTCCTGCGCTCAGGCATATTTGACTGGCATGCCGAAGCACCTTTTGTTCACCCAGATGCGCTTAGGCTTCTGAAGGCCACTTGCCACACGGCCGACGCCGCACCTGCGTGTGCAGCTGAGCATCCTTTGCTTCTATTGCTTCCTTGAGCTGTTGAATTGCTCTTGCTGCTTCAGAGTCCTGACACACTGGCATGAACTGGCCAAGGTCTTGCAAGGGCCTCATCAGCTCAGTCCTTCGTTTGGAGCGCCCGCTCCAGCTCGTTGAAGCGACCCTGGTACTCGTGTTGCAAAGCATCTTTGGCTTTGTTGCAGTCAGCCTCCGTGGCACAACGCGACAGATGAACCTCTCAGAACCATCGCCCGAGGCTTCTGCCATGAGAGCGGCTTCTTTCTTCTTGTGCGCTTCTACGAGCTGCTCTTTGGCCTGTCACATACTCAGCAAGCCCCTACAGTGGCACACAATGTATCAATGAAGGCAAACGAAATTTTCAAGGGATGGCCAGCAAACTGGGAAGCCTTGTGGGCTGGCCGTATGCGAGCTGTGTCCAAGGCTGAGCGAATGATACTAAGGTGCGACAAGACTTTCGAGGTTTGTGCCTGAGAGAAGCACTCCTCCCGCCCGCAACGGCTGCTATGGCCCCACTCGCTTCGAGAGTAGAAACTAGAGTCTCGATACATGCCCGAGTCTAGATGGCAATGAATCCTGGCCTGTACATGCCCAGCAGAACTTTTTGTTGGGCAGTTTCGCAGGAAGGCAGCAGCAAAGACCCTACACGCAACCTGTCAACTGATGCGCCATTTGCGAAAGGAATGGAGCATGGCATCCCTCAGCCTACCTGATGTCCTGCTATTGACTTTGGCTTTCCACAGTACGTGTACAGTGGCAGGCACGGAGAATGATGCGGGGCTTTGCCTTCATGGTCTCATCAACTTGACCGCGAAGAAAGGCTGCCGCCTGTCAAAGTGTGACGGCGGTTTGCAGTCGAGTCGATGCTGGTAGGTCACAGTGGGTCGGACGGTAGGACGATTCGTCGGTCGTTTCCCTCTCGCATTCGTCTCCAGGCTTTGTTGCCACGATGCTGCAGGTGGCTGCTCGTCACTTGTCGAGTTGGACTGTGGAAGGATGAAAGGCACATGGAAGGACTGCGAGACTGCCTCTTCCGTTTGCCGGCGATGTCGCTCTGACATCTCCTCACATCTTCGACGTGCGCTGGCAGCCTGCCACCCAGACGCTCGCTGTGCTCATCTTCTTTGATTTGCAGAATGCAGCCAAGTGACATCTTCCGCATTGCCAGACGCTGTGGCCCTATCGCATGCGGCAGGGCGGGTTGTGCACGCATACCCAGAGAAACACTGTCCTCGCTTCTTCCAGGTCTCGTTGAAGGCGAAAGACTCGGCTTGACTCTTGGGACAACTTCTTCGCAAGGACTGCCTCTCGGCCTGTTCCAAAAGTGCTGAGCCGGCAAGAGGGTTGTGCAAAGATGGCTTGGCGATGCTCACCACTGCCTGTGAAGAAGGTTCATGTATACGTGTATATATATATGTATATGAGTTTGATGTCCACGCTTTGTGTCTCTGGTGTTGTGTTCACTTACCGGCTTCACTGACGCCGATCAGTGTTCTCTTGTTGTGGGTAGCACTTGCGCCGGCAGATGCCGGTTGATGCAACATGCGGCCTAGCTTTGCAAATCATGGCATGGCTTCTGCGGCATCCTTTTGTAACCAAGACTGACGGCAATGCCGATTTCAGTGGCAACACCGGCAAACAAATCTGCTATCATGATCTTCAATCTCTAGAAAACCACGTGGGTCGCCATGCTTATCAGCGCCTGTCACTGCATGCACACGAGAGTGGGCTCAAAGCAAGACCTCGCCTTCAGCTTCTTTCTGCACTGCGAACAGCTGCGCCGCTGCCTCCGTGTATGCCCGACACTGCCCTCGCAGTACCCGCTGGTACAAGCGCAGAAAGCCAATTCAGAGGGGGGGTCCGCGACTTTTGTCGACTGCTATCGCCAAACAAGGGCCGCTGAACATTCACTCCCGGCACCGAGTCTTCATCACCCTGAGCAGCTATTTTCTTACCTATATTTTCTGACTTCCACCTGCTTCTGCCTCTGCTTTCATGCTGATGTCTCTGTGACGATGCTATGTGCTAAATGGTGATGAATGCATGGCCTCCTTGAGCTCGTCCTTGGAGGAACGCAGCCTCGTCACGACACATCACTGCCAAGAAGGCAGCTTGGTGGTATGGCTCACAAGGAAGATAATTCGCCACGTTCCTACGCAGGGAAGGAACCAAGCCCTTCAAGGACCCTAAAGGTTTATGGGGTTAAATGGGGTCTACGGCTACGGTATATCAGCCAGAATCAGAGGGAGTCCTGCCCGGAACATCTGACAGCACGGGGGGGCGGGGGGGGCAAGCCGAGTATCAAGGCCACGTCAGGTATGGCGTCATATGCCTTCTCTGTACGAGCGCGCTCGAATCGGTGGAACACGGTGATACAGAACCATTGACGTGGATCAAGAAACGTGGCAAGGAGATGCGGTTCCGAAAGCCCTTCACAGCCCAATCAACCCCAAAGCCCATGACTGCGCCGGTCGTCCGTGTGGTCAACCTACCTTCACACGGAATCGCGCAACGACAGGCGTCGCCCCGTCGCCATCGGGATAAGAGGCGCTTCTTGATTGCGGAGAACACCCGAGTGCTCGGATGTTTCTGCGTTCAGGTCAAAAAGGCTTGCTGTTCAGGGCTTCGCGTCTCAGCCCTGAGCGATGCAAACAGATTGGGAAGTTACTGGGGGCATGTATGCTAAAGCCTAGAAACACACCAGAGCTCTGAATGTTGTTGACTGGCTCTTTGTCACCTGTTTGCAAAGAGACATGGGGCCCAACCCACCCAGGAAGGGCGCAGCTTCGGAATCCAAGATCCGTTGATGGTTCGGTTTAGATGGCGGCAGCTACTTAGACATACTGTGCTGAGACACCCACTTTGCATTCACATCTTGCTCTGCCGCCACCAGCGCCTAAACAAGTTCGAGGTGGAAGGGGAAGAATATGAGAGTCCCTCAACGGCATACAGAAATCTGGGTCAACGGCTTCTGCCAAAGCTTTGGCTTTTAACCGTTGGTCCGATAGTGCATTCTTTAACGGGCAGATCATCGCTTGAAGATCTGCTATTTTGTCCTTGAAATCGTACTTGCCGGCAGTGGGCTTCAATTTCAAGACCTGCACCCACAGCACGCAAAGGAAAACCTGCAGGTGTGACTAGTGATTGGGTGATGTAAGGCTGGTACGGGCAGAATGCAATCCGGATCTCCATATGTTTCCCGCAACACTTTCTGCAGATCGACGCTGCGAGATGAGTCTGGAGCATCTTTCTTCGCAGCCTGTGTGAAAGAAAACAGAGAGAGACACGGAGAGAGAGAGAGAGAGAGAGAGGGAGAGAGAGAGCGAGAGAGAGGTTGAGGATACACCTGAGCCATCTTCGGCTGTGCAGCCCGCAGCTTAAAGCCAAACCTTGCCCGATCACTGTCGCTGGGCCTGTCCTGCACGGGGCAACGTTGCTCGACTGTGCTTTGCAGGTACCTTCACCCCCCGGGCATTTGGCTGTCCTGTACGTTAGGAGCAGTGGGCTGGAGGTTCTCGTCATTTTCGGGCCTGAAGAACAGGACAACCAGCATAAGAGTTGTTTTGTGCATAGGGAGCTTTCCAAAGCAAGCCGGTTGTTGTCTCTTGCAGATATGGGACGCGTCTTCACTGGATGCCATCTTGAGGCAGCAGTCCTACAAGCACTGATGAGCCGAAGTGCAGCGGAAGGATGAACGATTGCCCGAGCACTTCTCGACGGATGTTGAACTTTTGCTTCTGATATCTTCTGACGAATAGGCCTGACATCGATTTGTGGCTTGTAGCCTGTTCGGGCTGACGACAATAGACATTCAAGCCTTATCCCCTTGTGTTCGGTCATTGACGCGGATCGCCTGTGAACAAGGCATGCAATGCAAAACCACGCAGGCTTGTCAAGCTCCTTTTTGCGGCATTCTGCGCAGGGCTGCAACGTATAAAGCTGCACGGAACCAGACCCAGAGGGTAAGAAACATGCAAAACGTAGCTGGCAGCTGGTTCTTTTTCAAGGGTTTGTCGGGGTTGGGCTTACTGCATTGCACTGAATGAACCTAAAGACCTACCGACGATCGCGATCTCTGCCGCGATCACGGCTGCGACTGCGACTTCTCCGCCGCCTGCAACTGTAATAGATGTGGGCCCCGAGCACAGCGACATGGGTGGGGGCACCCGCCTCCCTCTGTCGCGGCTGGCACTTCGGCTGCGCCTGGGAGGACGGTAGCTGGCACTTCGGCTGCGCCTGGGAGGACGACAGCTGTGAGTAAACTCTACCACATGCACTGCATTGCCGATGATGGCGTATGACATTGCTCAGCTGTTGGCCGGCGACTTCGACTTCGGCTGTTGCTGCCAGCTGCAGCTGCAACCTCATCGGGTCTCGTGAGCATAAAGCACCAGATCGGATCAAGTAACAAAAACACATCCCTGGCCCATGCGTAAAGCCGCTGGCCGCTCTTTTGAGCCGATCCTTCCGGTGGTAATCTGCCAACGCACCGCCATCTGCGAGTTGGGCATCAACGGCCTCTTCCGAGCAAAAAAATCGCGCGTGCGACGTTGCCAGCCATGAGATCACTGAGGCTTGAAATGGCATCGAGAGCCTTGCGGCCGTTGTCGGTGAGTTCCTTTGCTCTCGCAATTAGATTGCCACCAATGGCTTCGGTGAGGCTTTTGGAGCCGGCAGCGGCCTCAGAGCCCACAAAAACATGACAAAAACGACAGGATAGGCGTTGAACTGCACTAAGAGCTGTGCCATAACTTTCGCCAGCTGCACGACTTGGTCTGCCGACAAGCGGGACTTTTTCTCCAGCTCTCGACGCTGCTTTGTGACCTGGCACCAGCATGATAGCTCCATGTGGCTACATGCAGTTGCTACAGTGTTACAATAGGTCCACTATGGGTGCTTGATCTGTCCAGCTCCGAGTCACTTCGTCGTCACTGTCCCAGGCACCCCCACCAGAGCCCTGCACAGGTTCAGGGCTTTGTCGCGCGGCGTTCAGGGATTCTGCGCAGGCTCAGCCTTGGTCCACTCTTTCAAGGTTTCGGACCAGAAGTCAACCAACCTGAGCACCCCCAATCTTTTTCTATCGCTATCCCACGCATGAGGACATCAGGACTGTGCACTTTGCAGCGTTGCATGTCTGCACATCTTCCTTTGCCCGAGCTGGCCATGCGTGAGACGCGGGCTTTGCCACGAGGTTATGCTTGGCACCGAGACCGGTGACCAAGCCCTTTCATGATTTCATGGCAGGCAACGACTTCAATTTAACACAGCTTCAGCTAACAACTTGAAGGTGCGACCTGGGACAGCATGAGCAGCTGGGCCGGTGGAAACACAGATATTCTGCCTGCGTGGGCAAGGGAACTCCTGCCTGCATATTGCTCTGCGACCTCCTCCTCTCCCAACTTTGCAAAGCCCCGCTGAGTTTCGTTCGATCGATGGCTTCTTCCGCAGCTGCCTGCCGGGGCAAAGCTACACTAGCCACTGCTTGCACTGCTCCTCCTGCTTCACGCGGAATCTTTTGCCTCCAACAACTCCGAGCAACCATCCCCAGCAGTTGCCAAGACCAACCTTGTTGAATCAACAGATGCCATTCGCTGCTACACTCCCCGAGCAGGTTTTCCAACAGCAGTTTGGCAAAATGCGGCCAGAATGCTTGATAACATCAGCTGCAGGTAGCGAGCCCAATTCGGGCTTGAGAGCTTCTGCCTCAGCACGCGCAGCATGCATCTGCAACTTTCGATTGTTTACAAGCAAGTGTGCGGTCACTCGCGTTGAGATGCAAGGGCCGCACAGCCTGCTTGAGGAGATACGCTTTGTCTTCATTGTTCAAAGCCTCCCAGAAAGCTCGGCCAACAAAACCTGCTACAAGTAGCATTAAGCAGATCCCACGGCTGGTATCTGCTTTGGTGCCTTCTTGGCTTTTGCCACTGCGAGGAGCAAGCGAACAAGATCGCTCACCGGCCAGGTGGTCGCGCTCGCTCCCACTGCACGGGCCTTGGAATGACTCCAAAAAGCATGTTGGTCACATCCGTGCCCGTGCTTCTGTATCACAAATCTCGAGCACAGCAAGACACACAGTAGTATGACGTCAGATGGATGATGGATGATGTTGACATGGGATATCCGCGAAACGCCGGATGTATCACCTACTCAGCCGCCCTCGTCTACATAGAACCCTTAGAAATGGGAGATGACTCCATGCGAGAGGAACTGACATCTGGGTGAACTTTCATGAGTTTGCCTACCACCCCCCCCTTGACCACCCCCCCCCTCGCAGATAGGCGGCGTTTAGGCACGTGGGCACTGAATCGCCGGCTGCATGGTATCAAGCCCCAAGCCCAAGCCCCCCCCCCCCCGCCGCTTACCCCCACCTAAAAGAAAGTGATACACAAGAAAAAGCAAGCGCAACACACAATAATTACACCAGCGAAGACCCCAAACAGAATGCATCGAATCACACGGGTTCAAGATGGAATGCGTTGGAACCCAATCTGGCTTCGCCAGCAGATGCTGCGAAAAATGTGTAAGCATTCGGCAAAGATTTTCTGCGAAATAGGATGTAAAGAAGCAGGAAGGGATTTGTCGGCTTACAAAGCAAACAAAAAGCCCTCTTTACACGGAACCGCTGACGATTTTTTCGACAGACCGAACGAAGGGCCTCCTGCATAGGATCTTGCCGCCGCACAAACCACGCACGGGAAAAACGCATACTGTTCCCGCAATTGTTACAACATTGCCGCATTGCAAGACAGGATACCTGGCCTTTGCTTCAGACGTTTGTGGTTTGTGGAAAAACCGCAAATGAGCTTGGTATTCGGTTCGGTTGGCTGTCGCGCGGGAAAAAGTGAACTTTGCCGCGACTACTTGGCCAAAAAAGCAGGAAGGGATTTGTCTGCTTTCAAGGCAAAAAAACAAGCTCTCTGTGCACATGGAACTGTTGACGATTTTTTTCGCAAACCGAACGAAGGGCCTCCTCCTGCACAGGATCTTGCTGCTGCACAAACCACGCACGGAAACAATGTACATTTTTCCCGCAACTGCTACAACATTGGCGCATTGCGAGACAGGATACCTGGCCTTTGCTTCAGACTCTTGTGGACAAACGCAAATGAGCTTAGTGGCTTAGTATTCGGTTCGGCTGGCTGTCGCACGGGAAAAAGTGAGAACTTTGCCGCGAATATTTGGCAAAAGAAGCAGGCAGGGATTTGTCGGCTTAGAAGGCAAACAACAAGCTCTCTGTACACGGACGCATTGACGATTGTTCCGAAGACCGAGTGAAGAAACTCCTGCACAGGATCTTGTTGCAGCAGCAAGAATGCACGCAAAGAATGCACATTTTTCCCGCAACTGCTACAACATTGCCGCATTGCGAGACAGGATACCTGGCTGGATACGTTTGTGGAAAAACCACAAATGAGCTTTTACAAACCAAACAAAAAGCCTCTGTTACACGGAAACGTTGGCCATTATTCCCGCAAACAAAACGAAGGGCCTCCGGACCTTGCTGCCGCACACACGACGCGCGGAAAAAAAGCACGTTTCTCCCGCAATTGTTAAAACGTTGCCGTGTTGCGAGACAGGATACCGGGCTGCATACGTCTGCGGTAAAAGCACATATGAGCTTTTACAAAGCAAGCAAAAAGCCTTCTTTACACGGAACCCTTGGCGATTTTTCCCGCACACGAAACGAAGGGCCTGCTGGTCTGCTGCACAAGATCTTGCTGCTGCAACGGAACCGTTGGCGATTTTATCCGCAGACCGAACGAAGGAAGAGCCTCCTGCACAGGATCTTGCTGCCACCACGCGCGGAAAACATCACATTTCTCCCGCAACGGTCGCAACTGTTACAACATTGCCGCAGTGCGAGACAGGATACCTGGCTGCATATGTTTGTGGAAGAAGTACAAGTGAGCTTTTACAAGCCAATCAAAAAGTCTTCTTTACACGGCACCGTTGGCGATTTTTCCCGCAGACGAAACGAAGGGCCTGCTGCACAAGATCTTGCTGCCACAACGGAACTTTTGGCGATTTTATCCGCAGACCTAACGCAGGGCCTCTTGCACAGGATCCTTCTGCCGCACACACCACGCGCGGAAAAAATGCACATTTCTCCCGCAACTGTTACAACACTGCCGCATTGCGGGACAGGATACCTGGCTGGATACGTGTGTGGAAAAAGCACAAATGAGTTTTTACAAAAGAAACAAAAGGCCTTCTTTACACGGAACCGTTGACGATTTTTCCGCAGGCCGAACGCAGGGCCTCTTGCACAGGATCTTGCTGCCGCACATACCACGCGCGGGAAAAATGCACATTTCTCCCGCAACTGTTACAACACTGCCGCGTTGCGAGACAGGATACCTGGCTGGATACGTTTGTGGAAAAAAACACAAATGAGCTTTTACAAAAGAAACAAGGGCCTCTTGCAGAGGATCTTGCTGCCGCACACACCACACGCGGGAAAAATGCACATTTCTCCCGCAACTGTTACAACACTGCCGCGTTGCGAGACAGGATGCCTAGCTGCATACGTTTGTGGAAAAAGCACAAATGAGCGTTTACAAAGGAAATAGAAAGCCTTCTTTACACGGAACCGTTGACGATTTTTTCCGCAGCCCGAACGCAGGGCCTCTTGCACAGGATCTTGCTGCCGCATACACCACGCGCGGGAAAAATGCACATTTCTCCCGCAACTGTTACAACACTGCCGCATTGCGAGACAGGATACCTAGCTGGATACGTTTGTGGAAACCGCACGCAGGGCCTCTTGCACAGGATCTTGCTGCCGCACACACCACGCGCGGGAAAAATGCACATTTCTCCCGCAACTGTTACAACACTGCCGCATTGCGAGACAGGATACCTAGCTGCATACGTTTGTGGAAAAACAGAAATGAGCTTTTACAAAGCAAACAAAAGGCCTTCTTTACACGGAACCGTTGACGATTTTTTCCGCAGACCGAACGCAGGGCCCTTGCACAGGATCTTGCTGCCGCACACACCACGCGCGGGAAAAATGCACATTTCTCCCGCGACTGTTACAACACTGCCGCATTGCGAGACAGGATGCCTAGCTGCATACGTTTGTGGAAAAAGCACAAATGAGCCGTTACAAAGGAAACAAAAAGCCTTCTTTACACGGAACCGTTGACGATTTTTTTCCGCAGACCGAACGCAGGGCCTCTTGCACAGGATCTTGCTGCCGCACACACCACGCGCGGGAAAAATGCACATTCCTCCCGCAACTGTTACAACACTGCCGCGTTGCGAGACAGGATACCTAGCTGCGTACGTTTGTGGAAAAAGCACAAATGAGCGTTTACAAAGGAAACAGAAAGCCTTTTTTACACAGAACCGTTGACGATTTTTCCGCAGGCCGAACGCAGGGCCTCTTGCACACGAGGATCTTGCTGCCGCACACACCACGTGCGGGAAAAATGCACATTTCTCCCGCCGCATTGCGAGAAAGGATACCTAGCTGCATACGTTTGTGGAAAAAAGCACAAATGAGCTTTCAAATGGGAGCCCAGCCCCGTTGCCGTGGCCCACCCATCCGACCCAGGAGCCTAGAAAGGAAACATGAAGGGAGCCCAATGGGAGCCCAGCCCCGTTGCCGCTGCCCACCCATCAGACCCAGGAGCCCAGAAAGGACACATGAAGGGAGCCCAATGGGAGCCCAACCCCGTTGCCGCGGCCCACCCATCCGACCCAGGAGCCCAGAAAGGCAATGGGAGCCCAACCCCGTTGCCGCGGCCCACCCATCCAGCCACCGCGGCCCACCTTTTGTCTGAGGAGAGAACCCCAAACGATTCTGTTTGGGGAAAAACAACAGACCATGCATCTACAGAAACAAGAAACTTTCAAATCCAGCGTTAGGGCACCGCTCGTGCGCCATGAGCTCGGACACAGATGTGGAAATGGACTGTCCGGGAGACGCAGGCTGCTTGTCAAAATGCTCCCGGTCTGCAGAGATACGCAGAAACTTTTCCTATGACATAGGTGTTCACGTTGCATCATTTTTTTCACTGAGGCACGGCTCGCTCGCCAGATGGTCGGCAGCTACCCGTTTTCGTAGTGTCGACCAGTGGGCAGGCGGAGTGGGGGACTCAAGCCTTCATGTCTCTAATTTTTCGAACCACCGTGGACAAGAAGCTGCGTGCCCACTTCTTGGACTGTTTGCGTCAATAGCCTACTCCGATCGTGTCCTTTTCTTTCGTGCGTTGTGATTTTTGAAGTTTCATGCGCTGGTAAGGAGAAGCGAGAAGCTGCAGCAGACGAACATCGTCGCCTGTGGCCAACATCTGAGCTGCCACGTTCTGCGCTGGGGTTCAACAGGGGCACGTTCTTCAAAGGGCAGGACGACGACGACAGTCCGGAGAATGTTCAGTTCTGGTGTGATTGCAGCACGATCCCAACAAGCATGGCGATGTCATTCCTGTTTTGGGGGATGACGCATTCGAAGCGCATGCCAACAGATAAGTTACTAAGTTACTTAGTAACTTAGAAAGGGCCGAACTAGAGAACTAAACATTGGGATGTTCACCCGTATACTAACAGTCCTTAGCAGGGATTATACTAGGGGTTACTATGATTCTCCCAAAAATCCCTAGGTTCCAGACCACTGCGCCGATGACCGGCGCCAGGCTTGTGCTCTTGGTGGATGCCACAGCCAGCTCCAAGAGCCGTGAGGGCTGGAGCTGGGTGCTGCCAAGCCTGGACTTCTCAAGGCATTCAAGGCTATCTCCAAACGTATCACATTCTCTCCTCCCGGCTCGCTCTCTCTCTCTCTCTCTCCTCTGCTTGCTCTTCTTTCCTCTTTTTCTCCTTCCTCCCCAGGTCAGGCGTCGGACTTGGTTGTCAAAACCTGCGTTGCGCTGGCCTCGCGGCTTACAAGGACTCAAGACCATGCTGCTCTTGACTTCTCAGAACCTTGTTAACTCACTGAACTCACGTCTGAGCCGGGAAGCCAAGGCGTCTGAACTGAAGCCGCGGTCCGCGATGGCAAGAACGACATCCACCAGCAAGTCCGCCTCAAGAGGGCGGCACTTGATACCCAGATGTCATACAGCAGAAGAAAAAAACATATATGTATCAATGTAGAAATGGACAGGCAGCGCCGCACCTGTGAAGCGGGGGCCAGGCGAGCGAGACGGCTAGAGATATCTTCCAATGCTGCACCTGCAGCGGCTATGGTACGGAGGATGCCCAGCTGCTCCTGCCAGGAGTCTGCTCACGTGCCTTTGATTCAGGGGCTCTGGCTCTTGACATGCAATCGCGCCCAGCAAGACAACATGGACAAAACTGCTGGCGAGTGTAGAGCTAAGCCCATGTCCTCTGCTGATGGCTCGGGCTGTTTGGTGTCCATCATCAGAAGCGCCGAAGTTGCATAAGTGTTGGCCTGCGCATGGCACATTGCATCTGCTTACTGCAAAAGTCATGATGCACCTATTCTGCAGGTGCAAGATGAGGCAAGGACCACTTCAAGACAGCCCGATGCACCGGCATATCTCACGAACTCCAGAGCTTGCTCCAGTCCCACGCTTGCAACGAGTGGTTGGCACCTCATTGTGTGAACTCCCAAGCATCAATGGCGTGACACAAGACAGCTTGTGTGTCACTTTGCGATTTGGAAAGACATGTCGTGTGACAGCTCAGGTACATGGAGGCCAGAGTGGAATCCACTTCGCCAGCTCCAGGCAAACGCAGCACGCGACCCAGCAGTGACACCTTCGAAAGACTCATGCCAAATCTGTTCCCCTGTTCCGAACAAGGCTGCACAAAGAATGCTTTGTGCCCGACGTCCAGCTGGGACTTGGCATCGCTCAGTTGGCGGAATACGATGTCAGCTACAGCCTGCTGGGCTGCCTGCCAAGATGTCACAGCTGCATTTCCAAAGAGTCCCGTGTGATGCTTCAAGCGCGCTGAATCTGAGCTGATGCCATGGGGAAACAACCTGTAATGTAACAACCTGGTGACTACCCTTTGATGTCCTTTGATGCTGTCGCATGGTTAGGTGTCGTGGAAAACAATGCTGAAGTCTGTTGGTTTACCAGCGCTTGCAAAGCAGAAGATGCTCCCCAAGTTCGCATCAGACATGCCCAAGAGCAGGCTTCGCAGAACACCATGTCATGTAGTCATGTAGCCCGCAGACCCTCAACTTCATATGAGCTTCGAGTGCCTAAAAACAGGCATTCTGGCGGTGCACGCTTCAGGGTTGGAGATGCTATGAGAGGCTCAAAGCCAAATTATCAGACTCAAAAGCTCAAAGGCTCTGGGCCCATCATAGCCTATGGCGGATTTGCGAAGAAGCACACAAAGAAAGGGCCACGCTGACCTGTCGCGTGTGCACCAGGTCGCTGGCAGCTCCTTGTGCAGGGTAAACCGTAAAATAGGTTGGGGCCCAGCAACGTGTAACTACTTCTTTCATTTCATACCGCAGATTTCTGGGCTTCTAACCAGAGCCACCCACTGCTCCAGCCAGATCTGCCATGTCCAGCAGATCGTTCAACGGCAGGACCTGCCCCCAAGCAATGGGGCACATATCATGACGTATGCTTCGTGCGGTGTGTCACATCAACCCGCACGGTGGAGGATGCCTAAACCCACCCGCTTTGGCCCCAACCTTCTTCTGCCAACATGCCCGCTCGGCTGAATGTTGCCCTACTTCCACTAGCTAACGTTGCTCAACGTTTGCCTCACTTGACTTCGTTGTTCAGGTCCTCCAAATTTTGGTCAGCGGTTCCGTCAACACTGCCAAACTGAGCGATTGCTTCCCGCTGTTCTGCACGCGATGCCCAAGATGGCATCTGCACCATCTGCCGCTAAACTGTGCGACGGCAAGCTGCCGTACCGCGATGTGCCGTGGAAACGTTGCATGTTGACCGCAGCCCCTCATGTTCGCTCAGCCCTTGTTCTTCAAAGCTGTGGAATTTGTTTGGGATGTTCGTGGCAGAACCTGGCAAGTCTGGTACTTGAAACAGTGCTTGCCCCCAATGTGTTCTGTCCTCGCTACCCTTCCATCCCTTTTGCAACAGGCCTGTGAGCAATGCGCCCAGAAGTTAGCCACTGCAAGCTCTTACAACAATCCGCGCAGCTGAATCCTGACACTCTGTCCCTTTGTTTGTCAAACTCGTCTGAGCTTCTAGGGGTGCTGGCCACCCATGTGTGAGTGTGTGTGTGTGTGTAGGACAGTGGAACGCGGGGGGGGGGGGGGGGGCAAATCGTAATAAGGCATGGCCAATTCGCCATGCTTCGCCAGTTGCCTGCCTGCCGTTTCAATCCAAGCCCATGGTCCATCTGAATAAAGTGAATGAACAAGTGCATGAAATGCCTGCAAAGGCCAGAAAATTGTAATTTTTTGAGGCCTGGTTGCGCTCCTTTCTAAACTGTAGAACATTGGAAAATCATAAAATTTGATAATCTACAACTTAGTTATTGGCATTTTTACAATACTGTACGCAAAAGACCCAATAAAAGTTTTAGATTTTCAGGGGTCTTTTGGCTCATTATTTAGTAGTGAAACCATTCGTCCTCGTGCATTCGCCTATAGGAAGGAGACTAGCTGGCGCCAACTGTGCTGAGTTTGGCCTGCTTGGGTGAGAGCATTTGTGACGCGATGCTCTGTGAACAAGCTAAAGACACTGCACAGTGCACTGGGGTATCTGAAAGCCAAGGCCAGCACGACTTCGCCTCCATTGGTCGCTGTGGCAAGGATACTGCGCAAGTTTGAAAGCCTCCAGCAACAGAAGAGATTCGCACCCCTTCTGCACCGGCGTTCTCACTTGCGGCCATGTCGCAGCTTCTTCTGCGCCGCTATCCTGTTGATGGTCTTGGTAACGTCAAGCCTGAGTTGCTCTGCTCTGTTGACGACGTTCTAGGCTGGGAAGGAGCCGATGCCAACTGTGTAACTGTGTACAAGTCCCGTGCCCTTCACCATCATGGGTGGAGGCGGCCAAGACCACCAACGCGCGTGCTGCTGCCAGCAGTGGCAACTTCGTGAGCTCATCCTTTGCGCCGGCCACAACAGCCGAAACCTGCACAGGAGCCAGCAGGGTTTGAAGCAAAGCTGGAACAAGTGGATGGCTGGCATCTAAGCACTTCACCCCATCTATGTCCTTGACTGTTGCGAGCATCTGGGCCAACTTTTCTTCTTTTGTGCGGAGCCTGAGACCGGCACGCAGAACACCCCATCGTGCCTCATATCCGCCATATACCCCCCTTTCGCAAGCCTCACAGATTGGGTCTCTTTGTTGAACTCCCAGGTCTCCCAGTGTCCCTCGAAGTAAATGATGAAGTCTTCGTTGTCCCAGACCTGGGTGGCTGCCCTTGTGAGAATGTTCTATGCTTCTATGAAGGCGAATGAGTGCAATGGTGAGTCCAGCGCCTTTTTTTGCAGAATGTTGGAGAAATACAAGAGAATATTTGGATCTTTCCGCAGCTGCTCCAGCTGCACCCACCCCTTGTAAGCCGCAACAGCAGGCTGGAGGACCTCAAACGCGCAAGTTTCGAAGGGGCGCTCTGGCATGCCCTGAACTCTGAAACCTCCTCCATCTCAATGAACTTGAACATCACCCCAAAGTCCACCAGCGTGAAGTCCGCGATTCCCCTGTCATCCTCCTGCGCAAACTGAGAAGGCCTTCAAGCTACGCAATTTGTAGTTAGTCTCATGGAACTCGTGGCAGCTAGTGTACGTCATCCCGGATATTAGATGTGAAAGCTGTGAGCTGTTTCGCATGTCGCCTCACCGTACGGTGCCACTCGCAAATGGTTCGGCGGCAGGAAGGTCAAGTAAAAGCCTGACTTCGAAGCACTTAGGCTGAGGTTGAAGTGCTGGGAATGGTGCCTCGCCGATATGCAGCTTCAAACCGGAAGGCCCCTTCGTATGCTGGACTCGTCACTGCGATGAAGTTGACCTACAACTTGGATGCACAGGATGCACACGGATGCAACCAAGGGATGCAACCCAAAGGACGCAGCAAACTCCCAGGCAAACTCTCCCAGGTTCTGGCCTTGTCAACCTTTTCGCCCTTGCGAGCATCTTCTAAGCCCACTTCCGAGTCCTTCGGGCCTGAAAGGCGATGAAAGGCGATGCGATCATTCCGAGGGCGGTGCGAACACAGTTGACATGCCTTGGGATGTGTGCTGCAGAAATTACGCGTTCTCCTTTGGCGGGCGGACACGAGAAAACGGGAAAAAATCGTTTGCGCGAAGAACAATCGAATTTTTGCTTGGCGCGCGCACGAAGATTTTCACATTCTCCGCAAAAAAACGATGTGAGGATTGTTGGGCTTTGGCGTTTGCTGCTTGTGGGGTTTACATCTCTTTCGAAGACGTCTTTGGTATCCATACCCTCAACTCCAACCAGTATGCTCAGGGTCTACCGGGGGGGGCTGCTTCCAGCTGGTGCTTCGCTTTGCCGGCTGTCGCTGCGGTCATGGTTTAGGTTCAGTGTAGGGTGCCTTGCTTGTGTCGGGCACGGGCCCCACGCCCAAGCACTGCGAGGCACACGCCCTCAATCTTCTAAACTATGAACCCGAACGAAACCTTAAAGGACAATGGGGCTCTGTGATGCTCAGGGCAATCGCGTCCAGAAGCTCTTCAATAGTGGCCGTTGAAATCCCGGCACGAGCCGCGCTCATCCCGTGAAACACGATAAGGCTCGATAAGGCTCATGTGTTTTGTTTTGCCACCCGTGGCTTTTAGGATTCAGGGTTTACTCGGCGCTGTATCTGAGAAACTGAGCGCGACCGTGAACCGGCACATCATCGGGACTAACCCGCCGCACTGAAACTACAAGGCGACATCCCTCTGAGGGTGAAGGTTTTGGGGAAGGTGAGCTGTGGAAAGGTAACAAGAGCTTGCAAGGAGTGGTAGTACTGTAACTGCAACGTCTGTTCTGAAAGGTATTCTCTCTCAACCCGGCGTTTAATCGCACCTGCCGTGCGAATGCGAAAATGTTGAAAATGCAGGACGGTTGAATTTGTACTGTGGTTGCGCACGCAAAAAACTTGGAATTCGAACTTGGCACGCGCACGCGGGAAATTGGAAACTATTTGAATAAACATCAGTGCATAGACCTGGCTGACTTAGCCATCCATGCCCTTAGGTGAACAGATGCTGAGGACGGAACGCGCTGGGTCAATGAAGAAGGACAAGTTCAAACCTCCACAAAGACCAGCTGCAACCTTGCGACAGAATTTCGCACTCAGGCTGCTTATGATGAAAACTCAAGAGTCTCCTAAACAGGCTCCTAAATGCAATCTTGGAACACCCATCTTCTCCCCGGCTGCTCTTGATCCGAGTGCACGGACTCGACACATGTTGTTCACTTCTGGCAGCCACCAAAGTGACCATTTGGTGTCTTCAAAGAATGCCTTCATGGAGCAAGCATTGCACCATGTCACCATGGTGCCACCTATGCCACTAATGCGCATGGAACGTGCATGGAAGCTGCCTTGAACTCGACGTCAGGATCATCCTTGCGACTGTGAACAAAAAGCCGCCGGCCATTGTACCGGACGAACTTGTCTGGGAAACCTGGCCAAGAAAACTGGGGCACCGTGCATCCAACGTGCTTGCCAACTTTGTGCAACAACATGGTTTGGCCGCCTATTGGCATCATCATAAATTCCTTTGGAATTCGCATGCGAGGTGCCTCACAGGCCCGCAGACTCAGGAATGCTCGCGCAGCATGCAGCATTTCTGCGTAGCAAACTAGAAAGCTTATGCCACCGGCTAAGCCAGCGACGCCACTTGGGGGCGGCGGCCCGAAACCTTGCTTTTTCCGCTTGACGGCCCGTCGTTGATCGTCGTAGGTCGACCGCTTGGTGGGATTGCTGAGCACCTCACCGAATTCGGGAACAACTTATGGAACAAATTGTCATGTTGTGTTTCGTAGGTTTCTGGCCTCGTACGCATTGTTGATCTTGCGTATTTGCGTCTCTGCTTCATCCCGGTTTTCAGGATGCTTGTCCGGATGCCACTTTAGGACCAGCTTCCTGTAAGCCTTCTTGATTGTTGCCTGCACTGCATACAAGAAGCTATCCGGAAACAGCGGTCAAACAACAAGCACGTGGCCCCTGTGCCTCATCTGCGTTCTCGTCATCAATTCCCAAGTCCGCATAGTAATTGATAATGTCTGTGCCGGCCATATTCGCACCGGAAACGCTGCACAAGACAAGCTAGACATCCTCTCGCCGAGGATGTGATGAGCCCTAAACAAACACTGAGCAAGAAGGCAGCAGGCGCGACCATGGTACCCTCGTGCCGGCATGGCTCAACATCTGATTTCATCAGAATTGTTGGTCGCCGTAAGAATTGTGTTGCCTGAAGGTCCAAAACTTCCCCAGGCTTGGCAGGCCAAGTAACGATAACGCTGGTGAGTGGAAAGGTAGGAGAGTTGTCTGTCTGTGTGGTTCCGTGCTTTACCTTTTTTTGCGCGGTTGTGCGAATCCCGCCCAATCCCCCTCCCCTTACACCCTAAGCACAACTCTAAGCCATCGTGCAAACCTTAAACACGACAGCCAACACCCTACCACGGCAATTTTTTAAACCCACCACTGCTCCAAACTTCATCCTAAAGATACCTTAGCCCTGTAGGTTACCCTCGTATTTACAGCCGAGCCAAAACCCTAAACCCTCAGCCAAGTCCCATTACAACCACTTTTGAACCCTAAACCGGAAGCCTCACCACGGCCCTGAACGGGTGTGAATCACGATCGTTTCAGCGTCCCAATGGCTTTCCATCGCGAGGATTGAAGATTTACGACGCGGGGGTTTGCGGATGTCGTTTCTGACAGTGAGATGGATGGTTTCTCGGCGACGCGTTCCAGCTCCTGGCACTTCACGACGGGATGCTGGGCTAGGCACATATCAGGTGGATCAGATCAGCTAGTTCACAACAAGGGAGGTGTGTAGATACAAAATAACTCGATGCATTTGCCGATGCAACCAGTCAAACACGACAGCTACGTGGAAATCCTGTCGGGTCCTCCTGGAATCAATGATGAAGAAGAAGCGTTTGAGAAAGATTGGGCAACGTTGACTGTCTCATGCTCGTGCCGAGCTGATGGGAATTTTCGCTGACCGGGAACATGAAAGACAAGCTGACCCCACACAATGCTTACAGTGGCTTACAGTATGACCTTCACTTAACCTTGACATACTGCGACAGCCTCTGGCAATAGACAACAGACAACCAGCGCTGCTCTTTGCCTGTCGCGAGACGGGATCACGTTGGATGCTCTCTCAGTCGTGTGCTGCTGGGTCACGGAAGCTCTCTGCGCATGCTGTGCTCGAGCGATGCTACAACATTTTAGACTTGAAGACCTTGTTTCCGAGAAGCCGCACACGCTGCTGAAAGCATCTCGAAGAATTGGTCCGCTCCCGAACGGAGCTTATTTCAGGCATCCTCTTCTTGCAGCCATCGTGCTGCCTGCAAGGACCACGGAACCACAAGACCCGCACAAGAGTCGCAAACCTGCTCTCTTATATCACTGAGTGTAGGAGACATTCACCAAAGGTGCACGCCTGCTTGGCATAGTAGGTGAGGATGACAGTGGCACCGGCGCGTCGGATGGAGAGCAGGGCCTCCGGCTTGGTTTTGAGAGAAAGCCGAAACTTTTAGACATGTTTGTTGCACAGGCCTCGAGAACCACGGCCTTCTCATCCAGCCAGCCTGTGCGCATTTGCGAGCATTTTGAGCGTCTCTACACGAGCTCTCTCCACTGCAGGCCATGCCATTGGGCAATGCTGTGTGCAAAAGTAGGAGCTGCGCCATTCAGAGCCGCAGCCTTGAGCATGGCATACTCGCCAGAGACCTGGTTTGTCGCACCAAAAGCCACATGACCTTTTATGACCTTTTAAGCTTCGCAGTAAAGGATCGAGCATGGTAGGCAGCGATTGGCAGATTGCTCTGCTCGTGCAGTCCCTTGATGATGTCAAGGTACGGCCTCACTTCATCAACATGTCGGTCTCAGCATGTGCGGCCGTCGAAAGTCGCTGGGTGAACAGGCATGGCTGGCTTCACCATCAAGATGTCTGCGCCCTCTTCCTCATCCAAAGCGGCCTGCAGGCCACTTCAAGCAGTGCTGTGCCACACGATCCAGGGGCAGAGGGAACCTCCAACAAAGCTTCTTTGTAGTTCGCCTGAAGGCTGACAAGGGATGACAAGGGTACATACTGGATTCCTTCGAAGCCAAGGCGCCGGATCCTGCTGGTAGGTCTCCTTACCTTTGGGAACCTGACAATTTTTTTGGTCATAACTCGATGTACCCTGAAGACTCGAGGGCTCATGCCTTCCAGTCTTCGGCGATGACCGGGTTTGAATCCAATGCCTCTCGGAAAGGCCTTGCAAGTGCATTCGAAAGGAATTCGAAAGGTGATTTGGATGTCTCTCTGTGCCGGTGCTCAGGCTTGCACCCGTAGAAGGCAGAGGCGTACTTGGCGCTGTACGCCTGCTCTCTCTGCTCTGCGAGATGTGCCCTTGACATCTTGCAAGGATGATCAACATGGCGAGGGCAGGGTGTGGGCATTGGCGCACCATAATGCCCACGTTCGTGAACCCGGCTTCATCAAGTGCATCGCGGATAGCACCTGGTGAGTTGGCTGAGGGTGGCTTTTATGGTGTCGTGTACGGTGGCATCACATGGCGCAGTAAGCACAGCGCCGACTCGCCCGTCCATCATGTCACTTGGGCCTCGAAGCTACCACGACCGGCTTGATGGGCGAAACTTCGCAACTCCGCCAACAGACTGGGCAAGGCACTCACGTAATCAGCACCTGCTTCGGCTTGAGACCTTGGGGAATGCAGCAACTAGGCCAAGTTGAGCAGAAAAGAACTATCCTTTCATGCTGTGATTCGCTTCTGTTTTTTTGAACACAGGCTGCCAAACACATCCGGTATCTCACAGCGGGTTTGTGAGAGTTTCTCTGGCAGGACGCAAGACGGACCTGAATCGGTACAAGAATATACAAGTAGCTCGTAATGAAGAACGCCTGCGCTCTCCTGGATGCCCATTCAAAGACTTTCAAAGAAGGGGTGGTTTTGAGGGCCTAGAAGAGCTCGGAATCTAATCGGACGCAAGGGCTTGAGACATGCAAGGGCTGGGGAGTTCCGGTACTTGGAGGAGTGGCTAAGAGCTCCACGTGCGCTCACTTTTCAGGGTAGGTGTTTGGGGTGACATAGGTTCATCCATGGATGATGGTGGAAGGCTTTTCATGGCTTTTACTTTGCACAGGAGGTGCCGAGAAGCGATGAAGGAGCATGTTTGCGCAACTCTGCGCGACAGGGAGACAAGGCACCGAAACTGTGGACACTGAGATGCCAACACTGCCTGCTTGCAGAGATAAGCGATCCTTGGTGAGAGCTCCATGCGTCAGATTGTTTGTTGGCTAGCAGCTGGTAGCTATGAACCATAACGTAAGTGCTCTTTCAGGTTGTGTCATGACTCTAGTTTCGAGGCCGCAAGTCTTCAGACTGCGATCGCCTGCACACACAGACATGTTGGTTCTTGCCCTCAACGTGCAGAGCCGTTTTGCAAGTTTTGAGATGCCATTCATTCCCTTCCAGTGCTACTGGTGCGGGTGGGGGGCTGAGTTGTGTTGGACTTCGTCACAGTCGTGTGCGTGGGTTTGCTTACAGGATGCATCCTGTCCATGGCTGCTGGTTCTTACGTGACGACTATGCTAACACAGGAGGAAAATCGCGCCTGTGACGGTTGTGCATCTGTTGAAGATTTTGATGTCTCTGGCATGCTGAGCTGCTGCCCGTTCGACGATGGCTTCCGCTGGGCACTTTCAAGGCTGCACCAGGTGTGCGTCTGATGGCGAGGAGGACACGCGAAACAACAAAACGTTTTGCTTCCTTCAACGAGGCGTCGTTTCATCGTTGAGGATCACCCCATCAGAGCGAACAATTCCATCATGTCCTTTGGAGAGCTGAGAACTTTCACGTGTATGAACATCGCATCAACAGTTGCCACGCGCCTAGCGAATTGTAGGGGTCCAGGGCAACGTCTGTGTACACGACCTGGCAGGTTCATGTCTAAAAAGTATGGACACGCGATACGAAGCAACACAATGATGCCTTTCAAAGTTACGAATCTCTTGGCGTGAGCTGCAAGTAAAGCTTGTCCCCAAACACTATCTTGTGACCCCTTCAGGGTGAGTAGAAGTCCAGCTTCGCTGAGCTCCAAGGCGTTAGCACGTATGTACAAACCACGGCTGCTTGCACTACAGACTTCGGCAAGCTCGTCGCATGGCTGGCTTGCAGAGCAGTTGTTGGTCATGCCTGAGATAGCCCACTGGACATGTTGAAACTGTTGCAGCGCTAGACCTTAAACGAAGGATTCTCGAGTCCTCGCCTCTTCATTGTGGGTGTCAAATTTAAGGCCCTTTGCTCAATATCATTTCCCACAAAACAGGGCTGAAGCAAGGCGAGCTTCCGCAAAGGTTACTTGCCCAACCTTGGGAAACGTCACAAGCAAAACAAGAGCCGCCTTAAGCCTTGCCACGCAGCTATGCAGCCAGGCAGCCGTGACGATGATGTCTTTCTTCTTCTTTTTGCCTGAGATGCGTGCTGCTCACCGACTCCAACGCCAACAGCCATGGCTTTGCGCTAAGTCACCCTTCTTCTTTGGTTCCCCTTCGCCCTCGCCAGCCAGATGGGAAAACCAAGTCTAAGTGGCTCCGAGAAAGATTGAGCTATCGTGCCCTATGCGGTCCGCAGCAGGCCTGATTCTGCTTTGGCTTCTTGACCTTTTTCTTCTTCTCCTTGCCTAGCCGGGCCCACACCAGGAGCATGCCCAAATTTGACACATCTTGACACAGATACATACCGTATCATCCCTATTGCTGTTCAGGCCTGCGCCTTGATCAGCCGCCTGGGCAACTGCTGAGGGCATAATCATGGAACGCTCAAGACTTATGTGACCTCGCCTTGCCCTGTTCGTCAGAAGACTGATGATCAGCTCCTTCGTGTCCTCCTTCGTCTTCTGCGGACTCTGCAGCTTCCAGCGCTTTGCGTTCTTCTTCTGCCTTTGCCGCAGCCTCGGCAGCTTCCCTCGCCTTTCACTCTTCCTCGGCTCTAGCCGCAGCCTCAGCAGCTTCCCTCGCCTGTCGCTCTTCCTCGGCTCTAGCCGCAGCCTCCGCAGCCTCTGCAGCTTCTCTCGCCTTTCGCTCTTCCTCGGCTCTAGCCGCAGCCTCCGCAGCTTCCCTCGCCTTTCGCTCTTCCTCGGCTTTAGCCGCAGCCTCCGCAGCTTCTCTCGCCCTTCGTTCTTCCTCGGCTCTAGCCGCAGCCTCCGCAGCCTCCGCGGCTTCCCTCGCCTTTCGCTCTTCCTCGGCTCTAGCCGCAGCCTCCGCAGCCTCTGCAGCTTCTCTCGCCTTTCGCTCTTCCTCGGCTCTAGCCGCAGCCTCCGCAGCCTCTGCAGCTTCCCTCGCCTTTCGCTCTTCCTCGGCTCTAGCCGCAGCCTCCGCAGCCTCTGCAGCTTCTCTCGCCTTTCGCTCTTCCTCGGCTCTAGCCGCAGCCTCTGCAGCTTCTCTCGCCTTTCGCTCTTCCTCGGCTCTAGCCGCAGCCTCCGCAGCCTCTGCAGCTTCCCTCGCCTTTCGCTCTTCCTCGGCTCTAGCCGCAGCCTCCGCAGCCTCTGCAGCTTCTCTCGCCTTTCGCTCTTCCTCGGCTCTAGCCGCAGCCTCTGCAGCTTCTCTCGCCTTTCGCTCTTCCTCGGCTCTAGCCGCGGCCTCCGCAGCCTCTGCAGCTTCCCTCGCCTTTCGCTCTTCCTCGGCTCTAGCCGCAGCCTCCGCAGCCTCTGCAGCTTCTCTCGCCTTTCGCTCTTCCTCGGCTCTGGCCGCTGCCGCCGCTGCTTCGTCTTCTGTTGCCACAGCCTCTGTGGCTTCCCCTGCCTCCACCTGCTTTGCGTCTGACTCAGGCGGGGGCTGCTCCTCCACTTGTTTCATGACCTCCTTAAGCTTGTTGCGTATTGACCGAGGTGGTTCAGGGTCCGTCCCAGTAGCGATACGTCGGCTCTTCAGCTTTTCCCTTCTTTCTTGCCGATTTGTTTTGTGATGTCGTGAAGCTTCATCTAAGTTGACATCTTCTTCTTGTGCTTCTCCGCCAACTTTGACCTGCAACAGGGCAACATGCGCCAGGACGGCCGCCTAACGCCATGTACATGCTGACCGCTCAGAATGTGCACAAAAAACTCTGGAAGGCCTGGCCTCTTGGGCAGCAGGCAGGTCACCTAATAGCTCTTGCCGGTCTTCTGCGTTTGCCTTGTCATCTTGAGGCATATCGCTGGCCTCCATTCCAGGACCTGGCCCATCTTTCGTCTCCTGCCGGCCTTCTACGGAGCTGACTCGGCGATCTTGTTCATCCTTTGCATCATCTGCCCGCACTGGGACCGCAGTATCCTCTTCATGCTGCACAGGCTCATGGAATTGCAGGCTTGCGCCTTGCGATTGTGCAGTGTTCGCTTGCTCTTCAGATAGGCTAGGCTGACCCACGCCCGCTGCGTCAAGTCTGCTGGCTCTGCTGACCTCGTTCAGCATTCCGTTCGGCTCCTTCCCGTCTGCTTGTGATTGGATGTGAGTCTTGTGATCTATGTCCAAGGGCACCCCTTCTTGGTGTGTCATTTTGCTCTTCCGCTGTTCTGAATGCCCGCTGCTGTCAGCTTCTTGTGCTGTCAACATGGGTCGGGAAAACTGCATGGCTGACTGCTGTGCATCTACCTCCTCGTCTCCAGGAGCGTTGTCGACACGCGATGTCTGGACTGCTGGCAGGGTCGTGTCCTCGGAACTCGGAAGCACTTCATGCGGCGCAGCTCGATGCAGGTCCGTCCTCATGGTAAGGGGTCTATCAGCATCAGCCGTTGTCGTCTTGGATGTGCGCCTGCTCGAAGGCAGTGCAGTTGGCTGTGGATCGTTGTCATGTGAAGATCTTATCCTTGTTCCTGAGCTGCCTATGCTGCCTTTCGACGATCGGATGCCTGTGTGAGTGTGTGGAGCCTGGGCTTCCTCCGATCCTGGCTCCAAGGCCTCGTCTGGACTGCCCTCTCCACGACCCACGGTCGCGTCTGCCTCCTGTTGCTGCTGTTCTACTTCTTGTTCTTCTTGTTGCTGGTGTTGTTGTTGGCTTGGCCGTGGAGTTGCTGTTGCAATGTTCGACGGTTCATTCTCGCCTGGACCTCTTGCCATACCGGCGTCCTTGACAGTGCCTTGCCCATGAACCAGATTCGCCTGAAGCTCTGCGTCAACTTGCTGGCTCAGCCTGGAAGTTGAAGCTGCAAGAATCGATCCGCCCTCGCTTGGATTTGGTTGCACCGTATGACTGGCAGGAGCCTGGCCAAAAGACTGCTTCGGGGTTAGGCAGAACCTAAAGGCAGGTAATTAACTGATTGACCCCAGGCTAGGACGGCACCTCGTCGTGCAACTTTTGCAGATGCGATGTCCACTTTGCCAGACTTTGCCACTTCTCCGTCTGTGGCTTGGCCTTGGCGTAGGGGATCTTTCTTGCACCTTTCGGAACTTGTACTGTCTGTACGCCTCTGTCCTTCAGTGTGGGTTCTCTGCGCATGGCGTGGACCGTTCTTCCGAAGTTGTCCACCGCAGCTAAACCAGCAAATGCGTGGTGCTCGGACAGCTTCGAGCACACATCAGCGCACCCACGAGTGGTTGCCAAATGGAGCCTGGAAACGGTGCAGGAGAATGACATTGGCGTGAACTGGCTACTAATGCTACAGATACCTCCACCGGTGACCCCTCCCTGAGCCCTAACCGTCCCTAACCTATGACATCTTGCGACGGGCAAAAGTTAAAGTTCCAAAGGAGGAAGGCTGCGCTGTCATACCGTTCTTGTCTCGGGCAGTCAACACCTTGAAGCGTGGACTGTCCAAGAAAGCTGTGCATGCGGTACACTGACCGTGCGCAGCGGCAGCATGCAGCGCCGTCCACCCATTCCAGTCCTGGGCATCCTGAGCAGAGAAACGCCAGTGCTGGAGCAGGGCATGACACACTTCGTGATGCCCCCTGCACGCCGCGTAGTGCAGGGCTGTGCAACCCGATGCATCTTGGTCATTCGCCTGCGTGAACATGGGTGATTCCAGAAGCTCCAAACAAACGTCAGCATAACCAGCGCATGCCGCATAGTGTAAAGCAGTCGCTCCGTCTGCAGAGCGAACGTTTATGTCCTTTTCCCCGACATACGGCAAGTGTTGCAAACAAGCTCCCTCGCCAGCTTCCGACAGCATTCGCAGCAGCATCTTTGCCTGTTTGAGAATCGCACGGCCCTTGGCCGTTTTAGGTCTGCGCCCGCCCGCATCCCCACACCTTGCCAAATGCCAACATAGAGCTGAGTATCTTGTCAACGTTGGACTTGCTGCTGCTTGTCTACAGTATACAGTATACCTGACTTGCCGATGCAAACGTCCATGTAAATGATTGGGTGATTGGTCGTTCCGGGGCCTACATACTTGAGCTGCCTGCACAGAACACTCCACATCGCCTTACCTTCTGTGGAACTTCGGCTTCTAGTGGTCTAGTAGTCGATAAATCTGCTGGATCATGCGTGACACCTGCCGCCAGATCTGCCAACATCGTGCAAAGCGTCAAGCTTCATGTTGCTTGTCCTGCTGGGTAGTTATAGCAGCTATCACAAAAATCAGCAGCCGCAAATAGCCGCAACAACGGCAGCTGCAGGAACAGCAGAGTTTGCCCGCATGATGCAGGTTGAGGCTGCAGGCTGGAGGGCAGGAGGGACGCCAAGCCATCAGTCCGAACTGGGTTGCAGTGTTAAGAATGTGTTGCACCGTGGCTAATAAAGAAGGAGCCCGCCAAGCCAGCCGACACCCGGCCCAAAGACATCCCCCATGTACAGACTTCTTCTTTGTGCTCGTTATTCTTGTACATGTCTTAATGTACTGCATGGGACAAGGTCTAGCATTGTCTCGCATCGCGCATGGCCACAGCAAACCATGACAGCGAGGCCACGTCCGGGAAAGCCTTGCAAGACGTGTCAAGGCTTTGCTTCAGATTCCGAGTGTAGGACAGTGGCTGTACTGATGCCTGCTTCACATTCCTGATCGCTCGTTGTGCCAGGCCAGCCGGGTTGAAGCACTCCTGTGTGGGCTTTAACCCTTTAACCACTCAAGACCCTCTCCCGTCCCACAAGAACATTCGGCTCCAAGCCTCCTGGGAGAGGAGATGCCATCATTGACATGTCAGTACATGTATGTAATTAACCAGTCGACCCGCCTCAGCAGTCTGCGTTTTGAGTTCGTCCGGCGTCTTGGGGAATATGACAACGGATTTCACCCCCAGCTTTACTGCCTCCGACGCTGAAACAAGGGATCTCGAAGAGTGATCTTCGTTCATTGCCAGCGTGCCTCTTCAACTTCACGCAGAAGTCCCGTATCCACCTCACTCCGTGCTCGGATACCCAACAGTCTCTGCCTATGCACACGCCGAGGCCCCGACGCCGACGCGCGACACGTCTGGCATTGAGCTGATCGGAATGTCTTCAGTTCCCTTGAGAATCACAAGAAATCATGTGAACTTTCTTGAGATGAAAGGTGACTCTTCGGCATCTCTCCACAACGGCCGACCCTGTGCTCTAAACCCTGGCCCTGGTTCCTCATGCACGAAGATGGGAAGGATGAAGTTTGCGGCCGTGAGCCTCCACAAAGGAGACACAAGGGATGCAAAAGGCATGGGTCAATGACGGCAGCTCTGGGTCAAAGGCCTGGTTTCCGAAAACATGTGTCGCTGCGCAGGCAGGCGACGGTTCCGCCTCGGCCTGGGGCAGGCGCTGTATGCTTCTGTCTTGACACTGGCCTTTGTGTGAATAGTCAATGGAAATCGAGACATTGAGCATGTCACAACAATTGCGAGCAGCTGCACCTCTTCCTGATGGCCATCGGGTGGGGCACGGGAGTTCCCTCGGGAATTCGGCTGCCCTCGGGGTGCTGCGTGACCTTGCAGTGCAACGTGGCTCCCATGTCAACTTCCTCAAGACTTCACGATTTGTCAATCCTGTCAATCCTGGTAGACTGGGCTCCCAGCACTTGTGGCGACCTCCTCTTCTGCCACCGGTGTCTTGGTCTCTACGTCACCAAAGAAGTGTCGGGGAGTCTGCGCAAGAAGACGGAGCAAATTCAAATTTGTTCAAGGCTGGCGTCACACCCAGGAATACCCTAAACCCTAAACCCTAAACCCTAAACCCTAAACCCTAAAACCCTAAACCCTAAACCCTATCCCAAAAGTAAGCCACAAAAGTAGATTGAAGCGCAATTCCTGCTCCTGCCTGGGCCTTTCCGGCGCGCTGCTTGCGGCTTCTTGCTGCCAAGGCGAAGCCGGCCACCGTCGCAGCAGCAGCGCCAACCGCTGCAGGCGAGCCGGTGGAGGCCTCAAACGAAGGCTCGCTTTTTTGTGAGGTTGATGAGTGACAGACATGAGTTTGAACATTTTTAGAGTTGCGACACTGTCTGAGTCTGGCCGATAGAAACATCCCTCCAGTGCATTCAAAGCGCAGCGTGTGCTGTGGCACCTGCCCGGAGTGCAGGTGCACTTCCAGGTGCACTTCCTGGGCCCTGGGAGGGTGCCGTGCCCACAAACGCCGTGCAAGCAACGGTGGCGGCCGCTGCACCCAACTGAGTTCAAGTGCAGGAAATGAATGACATGAATAGCGGCTGCCATTCTGCAAGCCTTGCTAAGAGAGCAGATAGAGCAGACAAAGCCGAGCCACCAAGATGGCGTGCTTCTCGCCACTCATGGTGCTGGTGCAATGTCGTTGGCTGCTCTACGCCTTGGCCCTCTACGCCTTTAAAAAACAGCTGCAGGTTCCGGCAGGACAAGCACAAGACACGGACATGCGTTCAGCGACTGCGGACTTTGCATAAACTAGAGTTCTGAAACTGGCCAATCGAAAACTTAGTTTCGCAACTTGTAAGGCACACGTCGGTCTCTGACAAGTCGGAGGCTCGTCTGTTAGATATGTGATGAGGGGGCGCAACCTGAACCAACGGTGGGCAAAAGGCGAGCCAATCTGTCCACAACGCGCAAGGGATCTGCATCTCTAGGGTTTTCATCCAGCCCTTGCTCTGCCAGAAGGTCCGCTTCACAAGCTGACAGTTCATGCAGGCAGGGCGCGTCCTGCTGGCAGGGCGCGTCCTGCAGAGCTGCATGGGTCTTTTCCGGAGCTTTTGTGGTGCTGCAAATTGTGCGATGTGGACATGCCTGCTACATTCTTCTACAGTATTCGCTATGTATTCGCTGAAGGACATCGCGCTTTGCGTATCCTTCACTATGGAAAAGTCCGCCGGGGCCTCCTGTCGCACTGGAGCGGATCCTCTGCGAGCCTTTAAGTGGCGGTTGCCGCCTGGCTGCCTGCGCCTGCAAGCTGGAACTTCAGTGTGGCTGAGTTCGCAATACCAATGCAACCAAGGCATGCCTGAGCTTGGCTCCACGCCAGTACTTCCAGGCCTGTCTCACAAGACATTTGTGACTTGTTCTGCAGATGCTTGGACAAGTGCTTGCCACTTTCTGAAATGCGAATCTCAATAACCGACTAAGCAATTTTCAGCACATGATACACGACGCCCCGCCTTGCAAACACTGGAATCGTGGGCACGCCTGGCACCTTCGAGCATTAAAGTGCATCATCTACCGGTAGAGTTTTTGACGCCGGGGTGCCTGAACGCCTTTGCATTCGGGATCTTGCCTTTGCCTGTGGAGAACGTGCTCACCAATGTCCGCATGTGCACTGATAACACCTCGGGGCCTCAACGTGTTGACAGCCTTCGTGTTCACCTCCCTTCCCTGCAACATGCAACATGCAGAGCATTGCAGAGCGTCGGCTTTTTTTTACAGAGTCCGGACCGAGCCTGAGTCCCGACATGGCATCGACGACAAGACCTTGTTTCAAAACAATGCGCAAACGGAGCTGCGAAAAAGGCAAGGTCTTTCCATGTCTTTTTCCCAGGGACGCCATTGAGCATTGACCGAAACTCTTGCTCCACCGACGAGGTCGCCTGTCTCAAGCAGGGCTCTGCTGTGAACACCGCGCCTCGACGATTACCAGTCACTGTTGCGGCCTCGACTCCTACTGCCTTGGCAACCTCTGGAGGCAGTTGCGGCTCGCTGGCCTTGTGAACAGTGGACCACTCGTGGCCACTACTTGCTCTCGTAACTCTAATAACATCTCGAGGCCTCTGCCTGCCGTTTTTCAGCTCGTTCGGGTCCGACGGCCAGGTCGCCCTCGTGCTCTTTGAATAGCGGTCAGTGTATACCAAGATATGATGAGGCGTCTGTGCTGCTGCCAGGGGAAGTGAGATGTCGCCTCCTCCATACTGTCATCGCTTTCGCTGCTGTCTGCGACAGGATGCTGGCTGACAGAAGACTTAAACTGCCTGTGATGCCAGAAAGAGAAAAGAACCCGCCTGCCGCACCACCATTCATGAGCCTCGTTTCCAAGAGAATCAAGACACAAAACTCCTGAACGATTGTGTGGCTGAGTGGAGCATGCGCACGTGCATATGTCTAAGGTTGCCACATGAAGTCACGTGCTTCGGGATCAGTGCCTCGCACACGCGAACCAAGAAACATTGTGCGTGTGAGATGCAGAAGCTACTCGGATGTTTGAGGACGCTTGCCATTGAAGAAATCCTCGTAGACTTGGTATGCGTCCTCACTCTTCACAGCAGTCTATTTCACAGTGACCACCTTCTTCCCATATGCAGGCGGAACCCATGCCGCATCACTACATACAAAGCAAAGTGCTGGCAAGACTGATGCTTTTTGATTCTCCAGCTTCTCGGAAAACGCTGAAGAAAAGCATGCAAGCAATTGCTCGGCGAGCCTGCCATGCTCGCTGACAAAAAGATTTGGCAAGCAGCCGTTCAATTTTGAATGGCTACCTGCAGCGTCGAGGCTACCCGAGGAACTCGAGAAGCTGGGAGTCTTCCTCACCTTTCAAGCCAAACTCAAGCGTACGACTAGCACCAAGGAGAGCGACAAGCCAGGAGCCGTGCACAATGCAAAGATTGAGCATCTTGTGGTCGTGCCAGTACTACTAGAACCTACTACTAGCAATTACCGTCATATCGGGTGCAGTGGCAGCACGTCGCAGCAGACCGCTAAGCCGCTAAGCCCGTTCCCCCCATGGCCAAGTGGCAAATCGTGTCCACAACGTTGGCCACGTGTGAACACATCATCAACGCAAGCTTCTCGTCAACCTCCGTGAAGACCGGCTTCTGGGGCTGTTTCGGCCTGGAGCTCAAAGGATCCATGACAAATTTGAAACCCACCTTCTTTGTATTACTAGGTAAAACTTCTGTCTTCTTGAAAAATCTCTCCCCAAAAGGATTTCAGCGAGCTGAGTAGTGCCAGCCAAGCCACAATTTGTTGATGACTTCTAGCACGCCCAACACTTCCCCAGAACGTTTGCTGAGGATCGGGCAGACGAGGACGCTACATGCACGCGTCCCGCTTCCGGTGTTTCTATGTGTTGCCGCAAATCGCGGGTCGGAGTATACGACTGGGACATTCAGCAACTTTCGAGAACTAACGACGTGTCTCTTTGTGCCTCCTGCTCGTAGCTTTATCTTCGTCGGCCTTTCCAGCTGCTGTTCTAAATACGCTCGGAACTCGTCGGACGAGACTTCGTTCGACTTTCTCACAAGATGGCCGATTTCCGAGGCTTTGAAATGCAACTCTGCCAGAGCACTGGCAATTGCACCGTCGCTGTAGTTCTGTTCCTCCGTGAAGGACTTGAACTCGCTGAGCTGCGCATCGCTAAGTTGCCATCGCTTCGCGAATGTCCAAAGACAGTTCTCCTCAGAGTCTGTGATGTATAGCGTGCAGCGCTCGGCTTCAAACTGGGCCGGGCCGTCGACTGCAAAAGTTTTGCATATCGTCTGCAGCTCTGCATGCTTCTTCTGCCTTTCGACTTTGCGCAAGTCCAGGAACAGCAGATTCAGCATTCCCAGCAAGCAGCCGCACAGAACTCCTGCAGCGTACGCTGTCAGCCCAAGCAGCATGCCAAAGACAAATTAATCAATTTTCCAAGATCCCTTCCCGGCCTATGGCAGAGCCGGCAGTGCCCATCAGTTTCACGACAGACATCTGGCGCTGCTTGTCCGACAGTGTGGGGTGGGGCAGCCCCAGTTTTGAAGCAGCAGCCTCCAAGGTGCCGCCGAAGCAAACGCCTTTGCACAAATTCTTCCAGGCTCAAACGTGCCGCCGTGCGATCGGGGAAACTACAGATTCTTTAACATAAGTTCTGGCAGGCTTCTTGGAAGATGCCGCACACAAAGACCTCAACAATACATACATAATATATATATATATATGTATACGTCACCGATGTTCTTAAAATCTTCAATGAAAAGACCATACGACCATAGTCAAAGCTCAATATGCCTCGTGTGGTAAACCTTGTACCGGCTGCCCCGCAGCTGCAGCTAACCTCTCTAGCAATAGTACCAAGCAGAACCAAATGTTTACGCCCCGGCGTGGTCCCACTCGGTGGTATTGCCAAGCTGCGTGACAAGTGCCCGCAACAGGACATCAACAAGTCATTCTTGAAAAATACATGATTGTCACTTGTCTTCTCCCTATCTAGTTGCCGCCAGCTTCTCCATTCTCTGGCAGACAGTCTGGCAAGGGGCTTGCCTACGATGCTCAATTGGTCTTCAGTTTCGGAACTATTAGCAATCCTATGGCCAGAATTCGGATCATCTTGGCAGAAATTGTGAACCTACAGCGCCCTCCAGATAAGCGTTGCTTTGTGGCGATTCGATGGCTGGGCCAATCTGAACGCTCTGAAAGTGTCCAGCCAGTTGTATTAGTTGGGAATCCAGGCAGTCGGCATACCACATGTGGTTAGAGCCCCTCGAGCCTACAGGCTGCCTTGCTCATTTCTTTTACTTGCTCGGTGCCGGATGAACAGAAACACCAGTGGAGGCTGGAATAGCACGTTAGCATCTCAAGAAGAGGCATCTGCTTTGTGTGTAGCAGTCGAGGAAATCGCGGACAGTGGACATGGGTTGTCAAAGCTTCACAGTTAGAAGGTGCATCCAGAGCTGCAAGACCCCTCCACATTCCCCCGTCCAGCATGGCCTGAAAAATCAGAAACCACTTGTCCGGCTGCTGCCGAGGCCATAGTACTAAGACCCAGGACCAGGCCCAGGTGCTCATCAATCAGCTCGCCTTCCGATGTTGCGCAGATGTTGCTCAGACGGCATCTTTAGTTAACACGCCACTACGGCACTACGGTCTGGCCAAATAGTAGAAGCGTGGTGAGCCCGGGGTCTCTCTGTCCCTCACAAACCCTCACATGCTGCTTGCAGACATCTTGCACCACCTTGCGGTTCCCTTTTTTCTCCCTGTGCCTGCATGTATCATGATGGTATTGTCCTTGGTGAGAAGGAGATGAGATGCACGACTTATCGGCGACACATGCTAAAAGAAATGACATCAGACAGGGAGCCATGATACCGAAACCAACCATCGGAACTGCGCAAGCAATGAAGTGGCGGCGCAAATTCCGTGCCGAAGGTCTTACGTCCCGCTCCTGAGCAACCACGGGCCCATTTGTGCCACAAGTGTTGTGGGCACATTGAGGTACAGAGCACACGCCCGGCACATTAACATCACAAGACCAAAGCCCATGGTACTCTTTCAGTCAAAAAGCCACGGGCGATGTACTGAACATACGCTTAGGGATGCAGTGAAATCTTCGGAACATGGCGCTAGGCCTCAAAAAGGCCCGCGTTCCCATACTGCAAGCGAAGCCAGTCAACTCTCGAAAGCATATGTGCACACGATCCAATCTCGAGCCAGCGCAAGCAAGGGAGCATGAATATCACGTTTAGTTGAGTCGCAGGAAGCTTTCGTCAAACTTGGGCTTGAATGCCGTTCAAAGCCTGACCAAACATTTTGCGCAGACATAACTCCTGCTCGAAGACGGGCTGCTCATAGCCTGAAAACCACCCTCTTCCCCATGTGGCCCATTGCACTTGCGTTGAAGGGCATGCTGCGTTGCAACATTGCACACCAAGCTCCCGACATGATTCGCTTTGCTTGAAGCACGCAAAGCCGCATTCGTCGTAAATGCGGCGCCTTGAACCACAACATCCGGACTCAGTGTTCAACTTCCGAAACTTCCGAAGCCTTTCTGGATCTTTCAAGACCAAATATGCCTGGCAATGGGGCCATTCGTCAAGGCATGCACTAGTGCACCTCCAAAAACTTAGCTCCGCGGCCTCGGTAATTAACCAAAACCTGACAAGCACGAGAAAGTTGCATGTCCAGACCATGATTGACTTGAAGTGAGAATCGGAGCCTGCGCAAAACTTCACGCCGCGTCCTTTGTGGACCATTCCCTGGTGCGTTCGCAAAGACACGCGCGTACGCATGACTTGCAAAAAGAAAGCAGAAGTGGCTGTCGCATGTGAGAACGCATTCAACATGGCCTGCTTCTGCTTCTTGAAAATCCGGATGCCATTTCTGCACCATATGATGATACCTAACGCCATCCCGGGCTGGATGCACAAAAACATGTGGAACAAGAACGAGTCTGCATCGTCACCTAAGCACTGCGCGCTGCGCGCACTCGGCTCGAGGAGATAGACTTCCCACCAGAATGTGGCAATCCTAACCTCCAGACAGGAAAAGCGAAAACTCAGAAACATCAAAAGCAGAGCAGTTCACAATTGAGGCAACGGCGCTTCGTAGTAGTCTCGCTGCGTGTCTTTCTGCCATTCCTCATCGTCTTCCACCTCGGCACAATGAAGCTCTGCCTGCTGCCTGCCGAATGCTTTGTTATCATCATGTCTGCGCAACCTTCGTGCATGTTGGGCCCCACCGTCCACTCACCATCATCCTGGCTTTCTGTTGTGGCGCTCATAGTCTCGGCCTGCATGCCGAAGACAAACGCCCGAAGTGCAGCGGCAAGATTGAAAATTGAATACTCCAATGATTTGCTTGTTCCGAGAAAGAACACCTGCGGAGCCCTTGTCCACAACTCGTTTCCGGCATAATTAGTTGGGACTTTCCGGGCCCCAAAGCCTCGCTATGCCTCGATCTGCTTCCCCTTTTTCGGAAAATCTTGGATTGCAAAGGTGCAAACCATCAAACGACTGAACGGAAGAACGTCTCTTCTCCCATCGAATGTACCTAACAGTCCAGACATCACCTTTATGAATGAACCCGGGCAACTGGACTAACTAACCAAAACAAAGGAATAGTCGTTATCAATGACCAGTGCCCCACAGCAATGGCGGCAACGCTGGCCTTAAACACCAAAATGGAACCATGAACCCTTCCTTATATTCGGGTTCAATCTGTAGTGTTTACAATTACCATGCACGCAAAACACAAAAAAAAAACGCTGCCGGGATGACATGTCGTGTGCCTCGTTTTCTGTCGGCATATCATCGGTTGCCTGTGCGGCCTTGACCGGACACATTTGCGCAAAAAGGCGTCGGGCAAATTGGTTGCCATTGCCTGTGCTCCCTGTGCACCAAGCCTGTGCGGCGCTTTGGCCTGGACATTCATCACATGCTGATCCGCTGGCATCCTGTGCTGCCGAAAGGCTTCTGACATGGACGAATGCATGAGAAGCCATCAGGAAATTGTACGACACATGGTTTTGCAAGACACGGCCTGGGCTTCATCGAGCAACATGAATACCCACGCCTAAAGCCAACGGAACCAAGTGCCTGCGGCCTGAGGAATGTAAGCGTTGATGCGTATCTGTGCGGCCGGCAGTCGGCTGGGCTCGGATGTCCCAGCAGGTTGTTGAGCGGAAGTCGTGGCCGCCACGCCCCGATGGGACGGCAAACTCCAGGAAAGTGGCCGCGAGCGCACGGCGCTGTCTGGGGTGGCTCGGAATGGACGCGCCCGAACAAGGAAACTCAGGAAGGTGGCGGCTTCAGAATCCCAGCAGAGACAAAGGAAAGAGAGAGAGAGAGAGAGAGAGAGAAAGAGGAGAAAGGAAGAAGAGAGAGAGAGAGAGAGAGAAGGAGAAGGTCAGCCGTGCCATTAGGACGCGGACGGTAAACGGACCGCGTAGGAAGCCATCAGCCAAAACTCCATCGTCCTCCTCAGGCCGGAGCAAGCACACCGGCATCCCCAGCAGAGATGGCCAAGCTTATGCCAAGCTTGCGAGGAGCAAAACGCGGACTTCTGGGCAGCACTTTTGCACTTTGCGCTTCGAAGGCTACGGTCCTGTTGTTACGAGCTAAATTATGTGCGAGGCCGTGGCAAACTGTACAAAACCATGTCTTGTTGACGGCCATCTTGGCAAATGAGCTACATCAGACCACAAACTATACATCCAGGGAACTGCGACATTATAAACTTGCTCATTTTTTTTGTCGGACATTTTCTCCGCCAGCCGGAAGGTCACAGCGTCGGGGTCTCCGGGGGGTCAGCGCGCAGGGAGGCGGCTTGCGGCGACCGGCCGTTCCCAGCGCCCGTCAGCGAGGAGCTCATGAAGCTCGGGCTCGCTGTCGTCGCCGTTGGCCTCCCCCGCAAGGGGCAGCTCAAAGAGGAAGCTGGCGAAGGAGCGCTGCGCCGCGACTGCGAGCAGCGCAGTCCACCGGGAGATCCATGCTGCCCGGACCGTGGGCGCCGTGCCCACTGCAGTTCCGGATACGTGCCTTGCCTTTTGCGCCTCGCTGCCGCGGCGATGCAGTGGCCAGGCTCGACGTCAGCCCGTGGGTGGGGGGAGGGCCAAGCATAACCGCCGGAATGGAAGGACACGGAACTGGGCATTGGGTATGCGCACGGTGGGCGAGACGGTGAAAGCACGAGGCGCAAGCTTTGCGAGAGCAGCAGCGCGCGGGACGCAGGTGGAAGGTCAGAAGAGGGCGTCTCCACAGTTGAACAAGTCATCGTCCCATCGCTTGGGGGCGACCAGTTCGTCGTGTTTTTTTTTTTTTTTTTTTTTTTTCTCGTGCCCTTTTCCGCAACATCCACGCGGGTCCCTGTGCACGGCGCTTTGGCCTCAGACAGCTGCGGGAGTCGCCTCGGCCTCAGACAGCACGCATGGGGAGGCGGCTGTGGGCGGGAGTCGCCTCACAACCCACGCAGACCGGGCAGCAGTCCGGAGAGAGGCAGGCACCTCCGCTGCGCGCGCTCTCGCCAGCAAGCGGATGAAGGTGGCGGCTTCGGGAGCCCACCTGCAGCCTACTTCCATCCCGAACACCACCAAGCGGCATCGGCGCGCCCGCTCCAGCTCGGGATAAGTTTGGCGTTGTTTGCGGCGTGTAGCCTGGGCAAGAACAATGCCGGGGCGGGCATCGGCGCTGGCGCGGGGCTGGCCGTCCCGGCCGAGGGGGCTGCCGAGCGTGGCATCAACTGCGAGCTGCTCCCCATGCCACAGGGGCAGACCGTTGCAGACAACCTCAATCCGCCGTGCGTCCTGCACGGGCACATCGAGGTTCATGTCAGCCAGCCGCACGTTTCTGGCCACACGTGCGCCAGCCTCGCGACACACCCCGGCGAGGGCTCGCTCAAGAGGGATGGCGCGCGAGGCAAGGACGCCAGCAGTGGCACACGCCGTCCGGTGGTCACCCAGCACATCCAGCGGCCTTCGGCAGGCGCAGGCCCGCGTTGCGAGCGGGAGCGGCAGGCGCAACTGGAAGTGCGCACTGGGGAGCGTGACATCCTCATGTGTGGGCAGAAACATTAGGGCCCGCGAAGAGTGCGGCCCGGCCTGTGATAGCAGCAGCGCTCGTGAGGCAGGTGACAGGTTCGAAAAAGCCATCTCGAACCGCGCTCGTCACAGGCGTGGGCAGCACGTCGCTGCCATCCACGGAGATGGTCACATGGGTCATCGCGTCTGGAGGCCTCGGCGGGAGGCTGCATCACCTCCCCCCCGCTGCCTGCGAGCCTGCCGTCAAGCGCGGCTGCCCAACACGCAACTGTGTACCTTGGCGCCCAAGGCTACGCGGCGCCTGGCTGCCCCTGTAGCAGCCCCTGGCGCCCTGTCTCGCAGGACAGGTAGCGCATCGCACCAGGACGCCCAGTGTGCAGCGTGGCGGTCAGTACGTGCACAACGCAAGCCGAGGCCGCCAAAGCGGGCAGCAAGGCGCTGTCAGCAGCAGCGGGTGGTCCGCCTGGCCGAGGAGCCTGGCAAGGCACGCCGCAACGTCGTGCTCGGCAGCGTAAAAGGCCGTTTCTGCAGGGGGCAGAACGCGGAGGAGGTAATTGGCGCGCAGGGCAGCGCAGTAGCGCAGCAGAAGCCATGCCGCTTGAAGATCCTCGACTGTGGGGATGGCCTGCAGCAGACGATCGTGGGCCTCCCGTTTCAGCGCGAGCTGGCGTTAGACAAACGCGTCAGACCCGAGCGGCGTGCCCAAGACATTGAGGCCTTGTTGGTCACGGGGCAGTGCCCAGCTCCCGACCCAAACTGGTTCACCCCGGCCGGCTGGAGGTCGCGAATGTCAGCAGGTTCCGCGCCTGCTGCGTTCCAAATACGCGTCTTGGCACGGTTTAGCTGCACGCGCGCATGGGTCCACAGCGCCCCCTCGACTGCAGCGTACAGCTCCCTGACCCGCTCGGGGGACGCGACGATGTAGACGTCGTGGAAGAAAGCAAAAACGGCCTCCCCGTCCCGCAGGCCGGCATGCACCGCGTGGAGTGCGGGATGGGCAGCGAGCGAGTACAAGTGGCGTGAGGGCCCTTGCCGTGGGGGATGCTCTCAGACGCATCACTGGTCGGGTCCTAGCCCAAGCCTACGCGACTCAGCTGCAGCAGGCGTGCCTGCCTTACCAGTTCGGCTTGAACACGCGTGCTGGCACAGAGGCCCCTGCACGTGTGCTCAAGGTCGCCACCGAAATAGATCCACGGGCCACCATACCGTCTGTTGATGCGGCAGGGGCCTATGATCATGTTTCACGCGGGGCCATGCTGGAGGCGTTGCACGAAGGCCTGAGCTGCAGCCGCTTCTTCCTTTTGCCCGGCAGTTCTACGCCACACCTAGCTTCTGCACGTGGGTCGACGCCTCGGGCATTTCCCACACCGTTACCCAAGGGGAGGGGGGGAGCAGGGCAGGAGGCGGGATGTCAGCTTGCGCCAGGCGTTCGGCCACGACGTGGTGGAGCCTAACATCCTCCTCATCATCGCGAGGGGAGCATATGGCTCGGCGGGTCGGCGCCCAGGATCGCGCAACTCGGCGAGTGTGGCGTCTGTGCCCGGCGCGAGCGGCTCCGCGACTAAAGCGCGGGCCGCAGCAGAGAGCTCCCCCAAGTGCACCAGGGCAGCGGCGCGGCACGCCCTCCCATCATCCTCGGGCTGCATAGTCCTAGGGGCAGATTGGGATATGTGGGCGGCTTGCGTGGCCTGGTGGAGCAGCTGCGGCCAGAGCCCCCGCCCAAAGAGATCGCATCGCCGGTGGAGCTCCTCGGGGGCAACGCGTGTATGGCCCGGCTCGCGATGAAGGAGCATGCGTGGGGCCAACATGAACAGTTTCCAACCACGGAGCTCCTCTTGAGGGGAAGCACGCGCCGCAGCTAGCCGGAGCCTCGCATTTTAGCAGGCACGTTTTGAACGTATGCACACGCTGGCGGACCTTGTCCTCCAGGGTTATGCCAGCCTGCCTGGAAAGCCTCCTCCGCGGTTGCCACGCGCCAGCCGCGGCGTAACAGCAGTACATGCCGGACGGAGGGGGCGGGGCGAGCCACACAAAGCACGGCAATGGTCGCCAGCATGCGCTTCCGACGCTTAAGCCGTAGAGCTCGTCCCCAACTCAGGCCGGCACACGGGCGAAGCCGACCCCACGCATGCTCGAGCCTGGAGTGAGCCCCGCCCATCAGACCTCGTTGACGTGGAGACGCGTAGGCAACGTACGATGCATGCGCTGGCGCAGCGTCGGGGGGTGAGGATCACCGCGTGCGTCTCCGGCGGCTTCCCCGCGCGCCGCTCCGGAGGCCGACGTTGGTGGGGCCGCAGCCCCCACCCCTGCTGGCGACGTTACGCCTGACTTTTTGGCCCAGCTGTCGGCATGCCATCCAGCCCGGTGTGGCACGCTGCGGGACCGCCTCGCCGAGCACCACCAGGAGAACGGCCGCGTCCGGCAAGGTCAGGAGGGCCGAGGCGAGCGATGCGTCGTGGCTGCGCACCTGCTTCCGCCGCGTCAAGGTCGGCTATGGCGTGGAGCAACCGCGCCAATGCGCGCGGTCTGGCCGGCTGAGCATGTTCGAGCATCGCCGCCAGCTCAGTCCAGCGAGGGCCCGCCTGCTCATGCCTCCTCCAGGAAACCTGCGGCCTCATGGGGCAGCGGTACGTGCAGCCAGGACCCTCCCTCCCTCTGCGCGCTGGGACGCCGATGGGGATGTGCCGGCAGCCGCGCAAGCGACGCTGTTGGAAAGGTACGGAGGGGTCGTGGTGGGTGTCCTGTGGGTTTCCACGGAGGTCGACCGCCAGTGGTGCCTACGACCACGTGTCCCGCAGGCCATGCTCCAGGGACTCCTCGCGCGGCCTGAGCTCCACCCGCTTCTCCCCTACGCCCGCCAGTTTCATTGCTCGGACAGCTCCTACACGTGGGTTGATGGGCAGGGGACCTCCCACGCCGTCGCGCAGGGCGAGGGTGGCGAATAGGGAGACCCGCTGATGCAAGCGCTGTACTCGCTGGCACAGCACCCGGCGCTCCAGGAGGTGCAGGAACAGCTGCGGGATGG